GTTCAATAGTATTCCAACAATTGCATTAAAGGAAACTTAGACAAGACTACAAGTGTACTGTACCTTAAAGTTGAAACGGGGGAAATACATACAAAGCTGAATGTGAGGTAATATAGTCATCTCGTTGAAGCCAATACTCTGGCTTCTTCCAAAATTCAGCTGGATGAGATCGATTACCAACTAAAAACCAAAGCAGATGGATCAAATGCCCCAACCCATCTGTTAGTCTCATGTTAAGATGAAATAAAACACCAAGTAAAAAATAACTTGGTGCCTCTCAATACAAAACTGAATGAAAAATCGCCCTAGAGGGTGATACATTTCTAAGTCTCACGCCACACACACAGAAATTGTATTCATTTCACATTTCACATATCACTTGTGACTGCTCATCTAGCACCTGATTCCCGCTTGTACATCTCCAACTTGTTACCTGTGAGTAAAAGTGTCAGATTAATTTGTGCATTTATAACATTAAAGTACAGTAACTCTCCCACATTCATTAGAATGTGTCCAGCAGTCTGCAAACAGTAAGATCTGAATGATCTACTGCCAAGGCAAAAGTCTGGACCAGTGGTCTGGGCTCAAGACTCACGACTGTAAGGTTAAAATCCTTGGTAAGGCACAAGTGTGTTACTCTTGAGAAAGATCCACTGAAGATTACTGCAGTACAAACCCTGCTATATAAGGGTGTTAATATAAATCACTTTGGATAAAAGCATCAATTAGCTAATATAATTACAATTAATAAAAATGTAGCACCAGCCTTACATTTTCCGTCTTCAGTTTGGAATTATTTTATTGCCTTCTTAAATTAAAAAGATAAGATCATATCTACAGTTTAAATGGGAATCAAAGCCGTCAGAATTAAATAATTGTGCCCCAAGAATACCAAATATAAAGATACATTAAGATAGAGGGAAAATAAATGAAATTCATGACTAAAGGAAATCTTTTTTTCCTGGTAGAATATCTAAAGAATCACAAAATATCAACCTGCTCTATCAAAAGATATAGCAAAATTTTAGTTTATCAAGAATAAATTTGCCAATAGGGAGTTTAGTATTCAGACTCCACTGATAAAACATGACGCTGACAATGGATATTATTGTTATTTGATTTGAATCTAAAGATAAACGTGTCCAATCCTACGTTAACAAAATATAGCACCAACCTTAAATACTTCAGCAAATGTTTGTTTAATGGAGATTGCTTACACATTTAATTCCTGTTTCACCTTTAACTTCAAACACTGCAAACAATTGTGCTGCATTGAGCTTCTGAACCATCTGAACCTAGAAAACTGATAAGTGGCAAATTAATTAACGGAAACCGTTAATTACGGTAATAAACTGACTAAATTAAAACTGAGTAGCTCAAATCATAAAGAATTAGCCAGTTTATTACTTTTATGCTTATGGCATTTCTTCCTGTAGATAGGAAAAAAATCAGTCAGCATGTCTTTAACTGTATTAAACTTAAGACTTGTTTTATCGGTGTATTGCTTAATTAGAAAGGTAATCCCTTCCAAAAGAATGATAATATAAAAAAAGATGTTTAATAATACACAAAGCAGATTCTCATGTTTCAATGGGAGAAAAACAAAACCTGAAGCGATCTCACTCCAGCATTTTGTTTCTAACCGCAGCTTCTCAAACTTTTCTGGGTGCACAACTCCCTTGTTTGGAATTGTTAAGTCTCAAGTTATATCAAAGACACAACTAATGTTTTGTGAGGCGCCAAACTGTCCTTTAGCCCTGCTGCGGTAGCTGCCAAGTGTTTTGCAGGAAGGAAACAGCAGTGTGGAAGGCAGCTGTGGGAACACACCGAGGTCAGTAAATGTGAATGGAACCCCTACCTAAAAGCCGGGACCTTGCCATTCCAGTAGTGATCCAGCCACCATAGCCCATATTTTCATTTCACTTTGTCATCTTTCTCTACTCTGGTGACAAAGTTTTTCTGGGGTGCTCCAAAGCCTACGTCACTCACCCCACACTGCCTCTTCAGTGCTTTAATCTTTTGGCGAGAGGGGGCAGACCGTCAATGTTTGCCACGGTTTTCGGCTGCCAGCGCGCACAGGTCACTGCTGCTATAGCAGCAAATCTGTTGCACCCATAATCTTTCTAAACAAAAGGCAGATCAGTTTACACACGTGAAACACGCGGAAGTCAGAGGGATGCACTTGTGTGCAATGCCATCACTCTTCATCAGCTGACCTGCTCATTGTATCGTAGTCCAAATCTCTCCTGTCAAGGAAACAAATGACTCATCGTGAAGCTTGTGCCAGTTGTGAGCCTCTCAACAGTGAGAAGTGGTGAAAGGGAGAAGAGGGAGTGTCCTTGTTAACTTTTGTTTACTGTACTACATTCCGCATTTCGATCACATACTGTGGGTGCGTTCTGGCACCTGTCACCGAGATTATTTTCTATTGTTGAGGACAATAACAAGGATTTCCAGCAGCGCAGTGTGACAAGCTTAACAAATTATTAACAAATTATTGTTGCTTAACTTAATCATCGCAATTAAGTAAAACACATGTATTTTTCTTCACCTCAATGCTAGAGAAACAGGCTAATAGAATAACTTGAAATGCTGCCTTGCTCTGAATTCCGATCCTGCTGAACGTCAATAATCCTGTTTGACAACGCAGTAAAGAACTTGGACAACGGCGCACTCAAATTATACGACTCATGAAAGGGATACTCCGTAATTCTCAAATAGGAAAAAAAAACAATATTGCAAATAATCATATACTATAATCATTTTTAATGTAAGAAAACACAAACAATTTGAGTTTTTAATGTTGGGGTGAGGACTCATTTCGCCCCTGTGCTCTTTCTCCACCTGCGTTTCTTCCCACTTAGAGAGCTGCGGTCTGCGGTGCGTCACATGCAACAGAGACCCCTACTGTAACGATGTCCAGTCAGCACAGCAGGTAATTTCCCCAAACGTGTGCAGTATGCTAATGAGACTTTAAAGCCGGTCCTTGGTCATCCAAGATCCCGTGGCACAACTAAAAGAAGCAGGGGTGGTAAGCCCTATGTTGTGGCTATGGGTCACTTAGACCATCAATCTACAACTGTGCATTCTTAAAGAGCCCCACATACAAACAGGGGAACAGTTCCTCCCTTCTCTACTTGAGCTGCTGTGTAGTGGGGCGAAAGTGATTAGGTATCCTTTAGGATGAAAAGAACTATATACAGTAAATCAAGAATTATCCAGTCCCCTAATAGGGAAGGGGCTGCCGGATAATCATCTCAAAGTTTTATAGTAGCATATTTGTGCAAATCCTCAGTGTTTTGAATTTGTCCCAGCTGTATACAAAGGTTGGAAACGATGCAAGGAGCACTTAAAAACACACAAAAAGGCTGCATGCACAATGCAAGATGAAGAATCAAAGTGTTGTACAGTACACACTTCAGCTTGTTTCACGAAAAGTACATTGAAAACGTACACCGTTTAAGAAGAAAGAAGATATTTTCTAGATCTGCCCATGACCTCCAGAAAATGTTGTAAGCAGTTGGATGGTGTTGTCTCCATTCTGTGTTCATAGAAGGTTCAATTTGACCTTAACATGTTTTTAGATAATCTAGTAATTTAGTAATAAAGATTATACATAGTGGTCACACGCTAGTTATGGGTGAATATTTTTATAATAAAAGTGATACAATTTTTACAATTGTAATCTTCATTTCAATGTTATAATTACTTCAGGACTCTCTTAATAGGAATTTTGTATTAACTTAAACTCTGCACGAGAAAAACTTTGGAAAGTCTCTGTGAGTTTTCTCTTATGGAAATGTATGAAACAGAAGTCAAATTTTCTATGCAGGATGCCAGTATCACTGCACATTGTGGGTCGACCTGTTAATTTCACAAGGTTTGGTTTTTTTTATTTAAAATGAATGTTTAACAACCAGTTTGAACAATTATTAACCTATATTTACAAGTTTTTAACGATCAAATGTTAATCAATTATGATCTTGGGGCACCCTTTGTTATTTTTTTTAAAATCAAACTGGAGAAACTGCAGAAGCAAAAGATCATTAATGAGGGGAACACTGCGCTCGGGTCATAAGGCGTACTGCAGGACATACATTTCTGTGAAGAACTACACAAGAGGGAATGAAGAGAAACTTATACGACTTATGAAATACGACTAGTGATGGTTAACCGAGAAATCAAAACGTCCAGCAAATCATTTTCGGGGCAGCCGTGTTAAATCAACCGGATCCGAAACAAATAAACTTGGGGGGAAAAACGCTCCTGGAGTAAAAGATTTTAAGACCAACTGTACGAAACTGTTCAAACTTTTCCAGCCCCGAGGACGTGCGTTCATCTTTAATCTGCAGTTTGGCTAAAGATCTGCGTCACTAGTCTAGTCACCTGCTCTGCATCCGTTTCTTTCGCACACCGCCGGTAACCTGCTTCGCGAAACGTGAAATATACATCAAATAGCATATATATATATATGTACACGTGTGTGTGTGTGTTAAGCGTTACCATCCGGTCATGAAAGGGACGCAGGAAGAAAAACAAAAAGACCGAAAACCCGGCACAGAAATGAAGGTTGTCGAGACAAAACCCCCGACGCAGAACACCGCGCGTCTGCAGCCCACCGAGCAGAAACGACACGCACGACTTTACACGTCACGGCCCGGGGGTGAGGGATCGGGGCGATTCCCCCCTGCACGGGGCGAAGGAGGCTGCACCCCCCCGTGCAGTGTGCAGTGTGCGCAGTGTGCAGTGCAGTAATTTAGGGGAAAGCCCCCCCCCAGGACACGCACGCCAGCAGACACGGAGGCCTCTCCGACCGCCCTTCCCCATCTGCGGCTGGCGTCGCCCCGGCAGTCTCGGCTTTCATTGAATTTCTCTAAAACGTCCGGCATCCTTTCAAAACCCTGCAGCGGGTCACTGCCCCCCCCCAAACCACGGTTTCGCTTAATAAAAAAAAAACCCGCGCACATCCTTCATTTCGCGTACGAAATTGAGAAATATACCTTCATCTTGACATCTGTCTCTTTCCAGTGGGGTCTCAGTTCCTTGATAAGTTTCTGGGCTCCAGCTCTGAAATCGTGCTCGTCTACTGTGACATCTAATTTGGGGACTGCTGGGGCTCCCGCAGGGACGTGGATGTAGTCGGCCATGATCACGAGTACGGTTTTTTTTTTCCCCCTCACTTTTATTAACGGCTGTCAAAGAAAAGACACGTTTCAATGGGCTGTAGACGAGCTCCCGCGCGTGCCTTCGCAGTTAGAATCGCCTCAGCTGGTTCTGCTTCTTAGAACGTTCCAACCCCTCGTAAAGCAACCCGCGCGCGTTGCATGCTGGTCCCGGGGTGAGTCACAGCATCAGGTGAGGCGTTGCCTCATTGTGACAAGGTTGCCGCGACTGTGACGTTTTTCTGCCGGCAGTGTACTGTGTGCGGGCGGCGTCGGGTATTTCAAGTGAAGTTGCTGGATTTTTGTTTTTTATGTTTTAGTTTTGTTTCATTGGAATACGTAATAAACACTCCCCCGTGCATGGCGATACGCAGTAATAAGGCCCAAAGCTCATTTGCTCTGCAGTCCGCATTTATTTTCCTAGTCGTGTGTAACACTTTGAATTGGCAGGGACCTGGGCTGCTCCAAGCCAAGAGCTTTCAAAACCCCGGCAGCCTTTTGGAAAGAGGAGATCTAATTTTAGCAGGCAATTAATCAGCTACCACACATCGTGCTGGTTTTATGCGAAAGAAGGTGTTAAAAAAAAACACCGGCTGATGAGCAACTTCGTAGAAGTTGTTATTAGTTACATAGTATTCCAGAATGGGAAGAGAGTTCTAGAACATGCTGGATATAACCGGGTGCGACGCTCCCTTCTTCAAACGGCGTCATCACATGCACTCACACCCACTCTTGCTCTCTGTTAAAAAAACAAGGTATGATCATCCTGAGGTAGAGAGAGTTTGTATTATCGCCAAGGGACAATTGATTTGAAGGTTAAAGAATAATTTTACGGTAGACCTATAGAATGTGGGTTACAAGCAGTGATTTTACTATGGTCTTCTGACAAAATCGAGTGCTTATTTGCAAAATTCCGGTTCTGCCCGTGTGAATACAGACATATTAGACAGATGCTGTGTTAAAACTATGATTCATGTCTGCAGTAACACTAATCTTTTTTTGAGCTGCAGCATCATTGTGAAATACTGTTTTATGACAATAATGAACTATAATGTTCACGCCTTCAAGGCACAAAAATTAGAATTCTGTGTTACGAAATTCTTCATCAGAGGCGCAGGACACAGTCTTGTGCAGATTCAGTTTTATTGAGCGCAAGAAGTACACAACGTGCGCTGGTTGTGCCCCGCAGAACAGACAAACTGCAAGGGTTTCCCAGCTCTTATATACAGTCAGGAGAAAGTTCGTTTCACAATCTGAGTGCTTGTGCTTTTCTTTGATATGTAATTACTACTTGTCTTGCCCTAGGTTCTGTCCTTTGATATGCAGCAGATATTGGTCTGGTTTATCCTGTTTGTGGGTGTTGTTTCTGTCTTTTATTATGTAGCTGTAAGCCACTGGGGCTGCTAAAGCAAGTCAGCTTTATGGCATCTTAGTGTAACTTTTGGCTAAATTAACAGACCCCATCAACAGCTCTCACAATGTGCTTAAGTGGTGATACTGTGATGCTGGATAAGTGAGATATATACATGTCCTACTGCACTAATACATACAGATGCATGTGCTTTGTAGTTAAATTAGAGCCAAGGACAAAACTGTTAAAAGCAGAAAAAGTACCAACCAAATAAAAATGTAATATTCATTGTTAGAATTGTTTATTTATTCTGAAGGTTATAGAGACCAAATAAGCAGTGAAGCTAATGAGGAATGCTGTCTAACGCACAGCTTCTATTACATAAACTGTCTGAGTTGTGACTTACAGCCTTTTTGCTACCATTTGTATTGTGTTCCTTTTCAGACACAGTGTTTGTAACAGCATGTTTGTCTTAAACATTGTGAATATACAGTAGTCTGGCGTTACTCACAGCTATCTTATATACAGACAACGGTCTGCTAAACAAGTCACAGATTGTGTTCATTGCGACACTACTGTATTTTTACTCTGAATGGTCAAGTTAGAATTTATGACAGCGAGACCTCATTTGGCCCAAACAGTATGTTCATTTAGGGGTTCCTTATTTCTGGCCTGGCTGTTTTGTGAACAAGGAGAGGCTTTAGTCTCAAAACACTTCTTTTTGTTTGTGTTAGAGTAATACTGTTAAATAACAATGATGAACTGGAAAGCATTACATTATTAAAATAAAAAATAGGAATCTTCTTCTATGCATACACAAAATGCTCAACATGATCTCAGAGAGGTTTAGAGTGGGGAATGTGCCGAAGTGTGAGCTACAAAGGAACAAGAAGACGTAAGTCTATACTGTAAGGTAAAAAGAAAGAAAACCCCTGTTTCGGTCCTGGAGACTCTTCAGGTGTGTGTTGAACTGAATGAGAGAGCAGGGAGATGAGGTGAGGGGTGGGGTAGAAAGGACAAAAGGAAAAAACAACAACACAGAACTTAGAAACTGTTACACCAGGAAGAGATCAGAAGTCAAGATGAGCTTTTGAACATGTTTCACTCCTGCAGGTGGTATGGTGCCACAGTGGTTAACATTGGTGGCTCACAGTGCTTGGGGCCTTGGGTTCAATTCAATTCAAGGGGGTGCTGTCTGCATTTAGTTTTTATATTGTCTCTTTGTTCATGTCCTCCAACTGTCCAAGAACATATTACCAGGCTAACTGGCTTCTATCTGTGTGGGCCCTGCGATGGACAGGCATCTTGTCCAGGAGGTATCCTGCCTTGCACCTGTTGCTTACCAGAATAGGGCAGGGCTCCCCCATGACAGTATCAGATAAACTGGCTAGAAATTGGATGGATGGATGTTTCACACTGTTTTTTCCGGCACTCAATGTATAACTAATGTTTTTCTAAATCTCTTTATTTGCTGATTGCAGTTTCCCACACTTCCCCTGGCCTTTGCCAACCAGATTTCCATCTCTTTAGCTCCCCTGTCACATCTCTCTTAACCATTTTCACTGTATATATTTCCTTCCCTGCTCCATGGGAGGAAATTCTGCAGGGTTTTATGAAGAGCAGCTGCAGTAAGATTTGAAATTAAATCATTGCAAGGAGATTTTACGCTTCATCTTTGGGCCACTAGTTAAGTGGCATTAAATAATAAACAAAAAAAACACTCTACAGTCAAGAAACCAACAGGAAACGAGAAACTAGCACCTAGTTTAGATATAACCTCATGGTTGCTTGTGTAAGGTTTATTCATTTATTTTGCACCTGCTTTTGCTATCTCAACAAGCAAGATTTTACAGTTTTGTCTACATATTTTGATGTCTCTACAAGGACAGCAGTATTTGACTAGCTGTGATAATGCCTGTACTGTACAGAGTTATTGCCTAGTTATTCCATGTTCTGAGATTCAGTTTCCTCTCAAAGGCTCTGTATAAAATAACGTTTATTAACCAATCTGGGTCATCTAGTCACTTTCATGACACAATTAAATGTGTGTATGGATATTTCTTATGTATTAAAAATGTTGCTGATTATGATTTGAGGTAACTCAGATATGCATGTTTATTTTTTCTTTGTACTGTATACTTGTATATATCTATTTCTTAACGTTTTCTATAAATCTAGGTAAAATACATGTCTGAGAAACTTTAATCAACACTCTCCTTCAAACTCCCACAAAACGTTTCAGACGAGAAGAGGCCACTGGGTCCTATTTAACTCGTTGGGTAGTTATTAGCTTTTGGATCCAAGACTCTCATCCAGAAATTACTTGCACTTCCTAAGTGGCCCCTCTGCCTCTTCTCTCTCCCCTCTCCCTCCTCCTCCTCCTCCTCCACTACTTTCCCAGCTTTTGTTCTCCGGTGCTATTTAATCTTTGTCGTCTACCCTGTCTTTCTCACACCTGAAGAGGGCTTCAGACCCCGTTACCTGTTTCCTGAAACACGTCAGCCACATGGCCGAACGCTGACCGTAGTGATGTACTAGATCTAGGGGTCTATAAAGTGAAATCATGCAGCTGGAAAAGCCGCTTTACAATCAAACACCTGAAATGAAAGAGCGAGAAGAGGCGTTCATGCTCCTCTGCTATCTGCTCCCCCGTTTCCACACGGAGCGTTATGGCTGTTCTGTTCCCTTCCGGCGGCTGCGGCCATGCGTCACCCTCTCTCCTCTGGCACATCCTGTTAATTTTCTCTTGCTCCCCGTCTGTTTCGTTCCTAGCTCCCCTCCCGCACCGGTCGCCTACGGTAGCCGGCGGCACAGCGTTGTCCGCAGGGCGAACGCTTTCACCCCCACCCCACCCCAGTCCCGGGATCCGACCGTCCTTACCGGCTCCAAACTCCTCTCCCCTGGGCAGCCCTCGCACGGCGTACCGGTGAGTGTCCGCTCGGGGCAAAAACACACAGACACACAGCACCAGCTTGAGGCGTGTTTCATACAAAAACTACAAACTGGCGTTGAATAATTTGCTTTGTTTTATTGTGTTTTTTTTTCTTCAGATACCAGGCCTTTCTGCTCCTTCTCGTCTCTCTCTCTCTCTCTCCCCCCGTCGCTGACCGTATTTGTGCAGTTTTTCTCTCCCTCCCTGCCCTTGGTGCGGGACTGATTTGCGAGGAGCGTTATGGCTATGAGGCAGACACCGCTTACTTGCTCTGGGCACACACGGCCTGTGGTTGACTTGGCTTTCAGCGGAATAACCCCTTATGGATATTTCCTGATAAGTGCGTGCAAAGGTAAGGTATCTCTAAGACATAATATTGGCGTCGCTCACGGTGTCCAACCAAGAGCGATCTGCAGCCTGAATCTTTTTTTTTCTTATCAGTCATCAGCGCAGGTATGCGCTGAATGAAAAAAAAAAACTTAATCTTCGTTTCCACGGTGTTAAATGTGTAAATGTTGGAAACTTGATATCCCGACTGTCCTGACGGTGAAGGCTCCGGAGACTAAAATAATTTAAAAAATCTAAAAAGTGAAGGTGGAACATTCTTAAAAGAGATTCTTAACATGCAACACGTGTTTGTTGTGTCCATATATACATATATAACATTAAGGCTTTATAAGAAATGTCTTTGTAAAATGTATTCTTAACGTGAATTAACTTGAAGCGTGGTACCTGTTGACCAAAATGAATGTCCTCTGAATAACGTGAAGAGACAGAAAAAATGACCATGTGACATCATTGCAGCGAAGTGTAAAAACCCTGCAGTGACAGTGGACTGTAGCAGGGCACCTGGATTATTTCATGTTGAGTTGAGTTGGTTAGACTGTGCTTGATCTCGGGAGAGACAGCATGACTAAAAGACTACCTGCAAGGGGGTGTAATTTAGAGAAGGAATGTGATTTGAGTAGAGGTTTATGGAAGTTGCTTTCCCTTCATCGAGCAGGTGCTGACGCAGTCTGATGTGGATTATATTTATGTGTATTATTGTGTTTTTTGTGTGTGCTCCAGTCACTGAATTCTGCTCAATCCCAGAGTGCAGTAGATTCTAAGTTAGGTCACTCTCTTTAGCCTTTAGCCATGATCGGCACCCTCATCAAACAGTGATCAGTTTGTCTTGTTGGGTGAGTTGTTGCCTGCTGCCACTGTTCTCTTCATGATTATGACAATGTCACATACAATTGTTTGTGCTCTGTCCTGTTTCTTTCTCTTTTTTTGTGTCTTGTAAACTGGCACACATCTTTCCAGGGGCCCTGGGACACCTTTCTGCGTTGCCTTTTCTATTAAGGGTCTGGGTTTCCTCAGGCACGCATTTTAAACAGGAAGCACACATTGGCCATACTTTATCTCGCAAATTTGCTGTTTGTGTCATCCAGTTACAGATTAAAATTTCTGCTTGTCGTATTAATAAATGGACCGCTTTACAAAAGAAGTAAATGGCATTTATGCAAGAACAACACTCCCTATCCTTGGGAAGGGAGCACGTGTATTTAGATACATGTAGGGGTATGTGTAAAAATACTTCAATGCTGACGTACTGTTCCAAAAAGAATATATATATATACACACACCCCAGTATAGTGATGGGGACTCTACTGTAAAAAAACAAAAGGCACCATCCTTTGGATGAGACTAAAACTAAGGTCCTGATCCTCTGTGGTCATTAAAAATCCCGGGGTGCTTCTTGAAAAGAGCAGAGGTGTTACCCTGGTGTCCTGGCCAAAGTTCCCCCTGGCCTTTACCCGTCGTGGCCTCCTAATAACCCCCATCTCTGAACTGGCTTCATCACTCTGCTCTCCTCCCCATTGAGAGCTGGTGTGTGGGGAGCAGACTGGCTCACTTTGCCTCCAGTTCTATCATGCAGGTGGAGCTACACACTTGTGGTGGAGGAGGAGATCCCCATTGCCTGTAAAGCGCTTTGAGTGGGGTGTCCAGAAAAGAGCTATATGGGTTTAAGGATGATTTAGATTATTATTTTTATTATTATTAAAGGTGAGCTGTGTGTTTTTGTGTTGTTTTTTTTTGCGACTGAAATGCTCTGCATCTCCAAATGAAATATCCCACACTGAAGGATCCTACACTGTCTTGGAAAACAGCTGACAGTGCCTCCCCTGGGCAAGGGATTTGAGCATCACACAAAATCAGACTGTTAATCTCTTCAGGTTCGTGCAGAGGCATGGAAGGCCGTTTTCTGGGCCGGCTGGTGACCTGCGAAACGTGTCACTTTGCCGCCTGCAGAATCTTTCCCGCGCTCTCGAAGCGTTGACCTTTTGCTCGGTCCTAACTGTGTGTGTGTGTGTTCTGTGCTCCTTCCACCAGATGGCAAACCTATGTTGCGCCAGGGGGACACAGGGGACTGGATTGGAACGTTTCTGGGTCACAAGGGTGCTGTCTGGGGGGCCACCTTGAACAAAGAAGCCACCAAGGCGGCCACTGCTGCGGCCGACTTCACCGCGTGAGTACGGCTTCGCCGCTGCCGTGGGGACTGCGCTGCGGGACAGAGGGGCTGCTCGCCGGGTGGCGCTCGGTGCTCGGTCCGCTCCCACCGTGTCAAAGACACCGTCCAGAACGTTTATCTTCGTGCATTCAGAAGATGTCCCGAGAAACGCGAGCTGCGCGCTGTAGATCTGAGGTTGAGGGTCCGTTCCCCTGACAGATCAGCTGAAGGGGTCCAGTGATGGAGCGTTTGCTCGACAGTGCGACTGGCTAGTGTAGATGGAGATCCTGACGGTAGATCAGTTGACACATGGGCACTGGTCTGGTGCCTCGCAAGGACAGATCTTCTGTTAAGCTTAAAAATATTTATATTTTATCTCAGTGTTTTGTAAGTGGGGAAGAGATCATTTCAGGGAGCGATTGCTATTATATACACGAGAAATGGAAAACCGAGTCATTTACACTATCCAGCGGGTTGATCTGTCTTAATGGGAATGGGCTCTGACTGCACTGCAGATATCTGTATAATGCTGTATTGCACGTACCGAAAAAGCCACCTGTTTTGATGAAAGTTTCTGCTTCTTTCTGGAAGGATTCAGTTTACAATCTTAAGAGACTATTAGTCGCACAGCTATTGGTAAACAATTAAAACTGTTTTGGAAATCGTTATCATTCTTACTGACACATTGAGTTATGGAAGGGATGAGGGTGTTGCTGACTTAGGTTTGTTTCTTTTCTTATAGCAAAGTGTGGGATGCTGTTACAGGGGATGAGGTCCTCACTCTAGCCCATAAACACATCGTCAAGTCTGTGAACTTCACTCAGGTTTGTTACTTTACTTGGAAATTCATGAGAGAGCCAGTCACACAGCTGTAAAGCTGTGCATTTTCTAGCAAACGCTTACCATGTCACTGTGGTAACGTTATCCTTTTATTAACTTTCTTAAAGCTAATGCAGTAGTTCTGCTTGTGTTATCGCTAGTTTATGTTATCTGTAAAGACTGGAGAAGCTTCTCTCATGAATACAAGATTGGGTTCAAGATTAGGAGCAAGGAATGGAATGGTCAGATCCACATCTTTGTATAGTTCATTGACATTCAAATTCTGAGTATTAGCCAAATCTTATCTCACTCTGAAATGAAATATTCTTCAAAAACCGCTGGGCTGCAGAAACTGACATCAAGCAATGTTATTAAAACTTATTTTTCCATCCATGTGTAGTGTTTAAAGGACATATAGTGCTCACATTATGTGGTCGTAAAGGACATGACCACTAATGAACCCTTTTGTTATAATAGCAAAATATGCATGTTTTTTAACTTTCCTGTTGGTGGTTTTTGTCCAATATGGAAATAGCCAAGTGGGTGTTTGTAATGTCTTGGCTCACAGCTTCGAACCCTGACCTCTGCGGACAGACTCCTCTGTATTGGTCACGTCACGTCCTCCCTTACCTACTTGCCCCAGCCTCCAGTGCCCAGGAGGCCACAGGGCTCGCTGGGCGGAGCGGTGGCTCCGTGGCTAAGGATCTGCGCCTGTGACTGGAAGGTTGCTGGTTCAAATCCCACGGCCGCCAGAGGAATCCTACTCTGTTGGGCCCCTGAGCAAGGCCCTTAACCCTAACTGCTCCAGGGGCGCCGTACAATGGCTGACCCTGCGCTCTGTCCCCAAGCTTCTCTCCCTGTCTGTGTGTCTGTGTCCCCATGGAGAAAAAGCTGGGGTATGCGAAAAGACAAATTCCTAATGCAAGAAATTGTATAGGGCTAATAAAGAAACATTAAAAAAAACATTACATTACAAAAAATTCGGCGAAATGCAGCGTTGCCAGACCAGTAACAATTAGCAAGACATTTACAACAAGCCGTTTACAACAATTAAACTTACTGTCAGGGGTCTGTGTGCCGCTCACCAGGATCAGAGAAACCCCTGACCATCCAATCCCAACTTGCCCTCAGGAGTTCAGCCTGCCTTAGGCGAGAGAGTGCAGTTTTTTAAATGTATTGAAACGTATGTTCAGGTGAAAATGACACCTTCTAATGCTTACAGATTAAGAATGTAATATATATGTAAGAACACAGTCAGAGTGGTAATAAGAATTTAGAAGTTATGCAGTTGGCAAAAGATCAGTTAATTGTGTGTAGTGGCAAAATGGGATAAATGCCCTAACAAAGGCAAAAGAAGTCCCTATGGAGACTTGGACAATTATATTGAAATGCTTGGAATGCATTGCTTCGTAGTTACAATTAACTCCTTTTTTTTTTAAAAAAAAAGCTAAATGTACTGTAAATAATCTTATATTTAAATTTTAAGACTGTGTGCTAGAAATATAGGAATATTTATTCACTAAATGTTACTGCTAAAATTATACTGTGTTTTTTATAGGTTTTAATTGTGACATTTTTAAACATTTTTCTATGTGCAGGACAGTACATGCCTTTTAACCGGGGGGCAGGATAAAGTTTTGCGCATTTATGACTTGAGCAAGCCTGATGCAGGTGAGTGCTTACTGGTGAGGGATACTGGTTACCATGCTCTAAGCAGATGCGCGTGGTAGGGTCATACTGATGACGCTGTAGTTTTCTGGTGTGATAAGTGTGAAGATCATTTTCCACACAAACATTCTGAAGCAAGTGTATATTAATAACACAACTTGTAACACAAAACAACTTGATTTATTACATCCACTGTAGCTTTGTTGTACACACATGCATGCATATATATATACATTGCTTTGAAGTAAACAGAATTAGTTTGAGAACAAACAGTAAGCTGTTCAATAACTGTACAATAATTGGGTACATCATTCTGTCTTCATCTTTCTGTCTAAAATAACAATGGGTCTTGGTTTGTTTTCCTGTACAGAGCCTCAGGAGATCACTGGCCACACCTCTGCCATTAAAAAGGCTCTTTGGTGCAATGATGATACGCAGATACTTTCAGCTGCAGATGACAAAACAGTGCGGTAAGCTGAGACTCTCCCTTGCGTACCTGGGAATCGGACCGTGTGTGGAACGTTCTTGGAGTTAAAGGAGTTGTGATGGTGAAACTTATCAGTTCTTGTGCAAGTGGTGCAGCTGGGGAGAAAAGACTTTACTGACTTCTGCACAACCCCTGCTGCAGTAGTTCTGGCATTGGAGTCTTTGTGTTACATTTCGAGTGTCTTGTTTAAAAGAGATGGGCAACAGTTGTTTTGGAAATGAGAATGGAAAGGGGGGAAAAAACAAGATCAAGAAGAAATGAGATGGGGACCAAAGGGAAAACCTGTTCAGTGAATAACATGCAGAAAACTCATTGGAGAAATCAAGTGTCTGAATTTACAGTTTTATGCAAACGTTTGGGCACCCCTGGCCAAATGTACATGTTTTGTTGATTTTCTTAGTAAAAAGAAGTTAACACAACCTCTGCGGCAAACAAACTTAAAATTGACATATTTCTGCAAATATTAATATGCAGTTACTATTTATTTGCTAACTTTAACAGGTTGGGAAAAAAAAAGTAAATGTGGCATGTGCAAATGTCTGGGCACCTTTGCAGTTGAACCAGTTTAGTTTTTTTATAAGGTCTCAGAACTTACTTGATTCATTAGGCCTGAATCTAAGTCAGGTGATGACAAATCCAGAGCTTAATAAATTCTCTGACTCTTCGAACCTCTCAGGGTGTTGTGCTTACTCTCAACAGCCATGGGCTCCTCTAAGCAGATGACCGAGGATCGGAAAATAAAAATAATTGACTCTTGCAAAGCAGTGGAAGGTTATAAAAAGATATTAAAACACTTCCTGCTTGCAATTTCAGCTCTCCGAAATGTCATTAAGAAATAGAAGTTAAGGGGAACTGTTGAAGTCAAGACAAAACCAAGAAAAATCTCAGATGGAACTGCTCGTAAACTGGTCAGGAATGCAAAGCAAAAGCCCCATATCACTGCAAAGGACCTGCAGGAAGGTTTAGTGGTCCACCAGTCCACTGTGCAGCATTGCTTGCACAAACATGATCTGCATGGAAGAGTCATCAGAAGGAAACCTTACCTGCCATCTCATCACAAAAGTCAGCGTCTGAAGTATGCAACACAACACTTAGATAAGTCAGAGGCGTATTGGAACCAGGTGCTGTGGTCTGATGAAGTAAAAATTGAACTCTTTGGCAACAATCAGCAAAGCTACGTTTGGAGGAAAAAAAGGAGAAGCATTTGAAGAAAAGACCACCTTGCCCAACTGTTAAGCATGGGGATGGATCTATTATGCTTTGGGGTTGTGTGGCAGCCAGTGGCACAGGAAATATTGTGCAGGTAGAGGGAAGAATGGATTCTACTAGGTATCAACAAATCCTGGAAGCTCATGTCCCCCAGTCAGTGAAGAAACTGAAGCTGAAAGGAGGTTGAATATTACAACAAGACAATGATCCAAAACATACTGCAAAATCAACTATGAACTACTTCAAAAAACTAAAGGTTAAGGTGTTGGAATGGCCTTCATAGTCCCCAGACTTGAATATTATTGAAAATCTGTGGGTAGATCTCAAACATGCAGTGCATGCAAGATGGCCTAAGAATATTTCTGAACTAGAAGCATTCTGCAAGGAAGAGTGGGGAAAACATTCCTAAAGCAAGAATAGAAAGACTGTTAGCTTGCTACAAGAAACGTTTGGAGGCTGTGATTTCTGCCAAAGGGGGTGTTACTAAGTACTGACTGATAGGATGCCCAAACGTTTGCGCATGCCACATTTACTGTTTTATTTTTTTTCAATCTGTTAAATTCAGCAAATAAATAGTAACTGGATTAAAATTTGCAGAGCTATGTCAAGTTTAAGTTTGTTCGCTGCAGAGGTTAACTTCCTTTCATTTAGAAAATCAATAAATCATGTTCCAAATATTCCAAATGTATAGTGTTATGAGTATGCTGTAGACCACCTAATGCAGATGTTGATTATAATTCAACATTGCCTCATGAAATTCAGAATATGTATGAAAATAAGTAATTTATATGGGAGACTTTAACTTAAAATGGTAAGGATCTATAGGAATATCGGCAGGGAAAACTGAAATGGTAGACCTGCTTAAGAACTGCATTAATTATCACTTTGCCAGAGCACATACAAGAGGAAGTGCTTTGATGGATCATCTTTTCAAATAATAGAGTGCTAAGAATAGACAGATCTATTTACGAGAGAGACTGAGGTGTTAATGTGGGCTCATTGTTCATATTTGAAGAGACAATATGAGGAAGCAATTAAATAGGCAAACAAAATGCTAGGATACATAGTTAAAAACGGATTTTAAATCTGATTATTAAATTGTTTAATACACCAGTAAGACCTTGTTTAGAATATTGTGTACAATTGTGGTCACTATTATAGATAACAATGACCAGATACATTCCAGGTACTGTCTTGAACAGATAAGACTATGAGGGAACTTGGAAGTATTCAAAATCTCCAATGGCACTGACGAAGACAGCCCAGAAGATTCCTTTAGAACCAACAGTGAAACATAAGCCAAATGGCTCAAGTGGAAACTATTTGGAATGGTTAAAATGGAGAACAGGAGGCTCCTTCTTTACAAGAAGGTTTGTGGGAGTCTGGAACAAGCTCCCCAGCCATGCTGTTGATGTCGATACCCTGGTTTCTTTCATGAAAAAGGCTGGATAGAATCATTTGACCAATCAGCTGCTAACTACCAAGTGGGCTAAACGGCCTGTAAAAACTGAAGAGGCTCTTGAAATGCTTTTTAATATATGGGCACTTGTTTTCCAAAGCAGAAGCTGTTTATCTTTGTTATGCCACTCATAATATTTGAGAACTATGAAAAACAAAGCTGACAGGATTTGTCTGTTTTCTAGGGAAACAACAGCTCTTCACAACAGCTTAAGACACATTTGAGTATGTTAATTTGAAAAGCTTGTTGTTCCTATATTATATCTTTAGTTTGAATTACTGGAAATATGAAGATCACATATACAGAAGTCCTTAAACCAAGCCAAGAAAAGCATATTGAAATGAAATGTTTTTTGACATCATGCTTTGTAGATTCTCAGTTACAGCAGCATCAGAGTCAAAACGCTTGTAATTTTTTCTAATTTCATAAAGAAAGGTACTCTTTAGATAAAGCAAAGAAAGAGCAGAGGTGGTGTCCCTGGTGTCGTGGTTAATTTCCACTCTGAGCTTGCACCATGTTGGCCTCACTAAAAAAAGGTCCCCCTCCTTAATCAAATTGGTGAAGTATTTTCTTGCTTCTCCATCCTCCTATATGTAAAGCATAAACTAAAAAGATGAGTTTTAAAAATATTAAAAAGTATTTTCCAATTGAAAAGAAAAATGCTGCACAAATACAACATGGTATACATTTTCTTAGAGACATCGGCCTTCTCTAAGACTGGAAGCGACCTTCCTGTTAATTATGAAATGACTCAGTTTTGTTTCATTTGCTCAAGTAATCTTTCAGTTAATGGGCTCCTGGAAGGAGCTGAATCAGTCTTTGATGGAAGAGGGTCAGCTGGCAGTCTCTGAACCTGTGACTTAACCAGTTTGAGAGCTGGTGGAATGGAGCAACACCAGTCATCTTGTATGGTGTGAAGCTTAGTTCTCTGCACTCCAGACTCAGAGCTGGTCAAACTTTTAAGCTGAAGTAGAGAGTATACAGTAAGTGAGCTCTGTTCACAGTGGTTATTAATCTTACATGAGTAGTAGCAAATGATTGGAACTTTGGCTAAAGGTGTCTTAGGATAGTTTTCCCCTCTTTTTAATTGTTTGATTTTACGTTGAGGTTTCTTGCCCTGTTTGTCTTTCAGCCTGTGGGATAGGAATAGCATGGAGGTAGTGAAGACCCTGTCTTTTGACATTTCAGTCAGCAGCATGGAGTACATTCCAGAGGGAGAGATACTTGTTATCACTTATGGGAAAACCATTGCATTTTACAATGCACTAAGGTAAGGGGTTTCAAGAGACTGACCTCTTCTATCAGTCCAGTTTTGTTGTTTAATGCACTTATAAAACTAGTTCACTAGTTTAGTTAACCTTTTATAGTGGTTCATCTTTTGGTATTCATGTCATGAATTTGAAGTGAACATGACTGAAATGCACGTCTAATGCAGTTTGTTGAAATTGTAATTGAATTCACCGTTTTAATTTATATAATTTACACGGGGCATGTTGTATACAACATTGTGCTGCCTAGACATCTTTTGCAATACAGGGTTTTAGTTTGGAAAAACTCCCTTATAGCTGAAATGTAGTTGTATGAATTGCTGTAGTATTTTTTAGATATGTATTTGAGTGATCTTTGTGGAAATGAAGAAATTCCTTAAAATGTAAATAAATAGTAACCATTGCCTTCTACACTTCATTTCTCATACATCATGTATAGCATTTTTTGTTGTAACTACAGTTGAGTTCTTATTATTGAAACGCAGGCTGTGTAAAGATGTTGTCCATGAGGTTCCCAGTGTCTCTTGTGCAGTATTAATCTTATAATTCTCTCATATGGTGTCTCATCTGCACTAGGGGGTGTTTATATTGAATTCTACATGTTGTGATATTGGGGATAAAAAGTCTTTTTTTTTTTTTTGCTTTTCCTTTTTCCAGCCTTGACTTGATTAAGACGGTTGATACCCCAGCATCAATTAATTCTGCTTCTCTTCATCCTGAGAAGGACTTCTTTGTTGCTGGGGGTGACGATTTCAAGCTTTACAAATACGACTATAATACTAAGGAAGAATTAGGTAAGATAGAAAATGCCTCATGCTCACTCACAGACTGAATTGTTGAAACCAAAAGCTTTGATTAGCTTTAAATTATATATAATGTTTTCAGCATTGGATAAAAACAGAAGCTCACTCTTGCCCAGGAGGTCTGTCTTGTCCGTTCAAATTTCACTTCATTGTTTTTTCCCAAGTACGTTTTGGGGAAAAGAGAACATGGGGATCACATTATTTTTTACAATAATCCTAAAATGAAGTTCTTACTTGCCAGACATCAAACTGGAGTGGACACTTCTAAATGCTATTGCACATTTTCATTGCTTGTTTTTAATTTAGGAGTACATACATGCTATTATATCCCACATTCCCTTTGTTTTCACTACTGCTGTCTCGTTAGGCAGCTGAAGCAGATGCTGCGGTCCTGAGACTGTAACATGGTCCCCTGAGGACCAGCTGCACTAACTGACCACTGGAGCTAACTCAGTTCCCGTTGTCACAGGAATGTGGCTAAATAGAGTGAAGTGTCTTTGTTGGAGTAGGGACAAGCATATTGGTTGATTTTCTGGATTGGCAAATGAAACTGTATTTTGTTTCAGAATACGTATTTCATTTATCAGGTATGTTAATATGGATTTAAGTGCTTGAATAATTTGGGTCTTGTCTAATATTCCAGCTTGAGGGCACTTTTGTTCTACAGTTAAGTAACAGCACTTTAAAGCACAGTCAAATCCACAACAGTAACACGTGCATTTCTTCCTCATACACTGCTTTTGTCCTTTTAGCTGAGCTCCTCCATTGTGTATTTCTTTCAGAGTCTTACAAGGGACACTTTGGGCCAGTCCACTGTGTGCGATTCAGTCCTGATGGTGAACTGTATGCCAGTGGGTCTGAGGACGGCACACTGAGACTTTGGCAAACAGCAGTTGGGAAGACTTATGGCTTATGGAAATGTGTTCTCCCAGGTAAGGGAATGTGTCTTTGGAACTCCCCTTGAATTGGTAACATTTTTCATTTCATGGCTTAGTCTTTGGAATCGCCACATGTGGGTGTGGTGAAAAGTTCTGTACCCTTGATTAATTATGTGTCTCCAGTGTAATCCAATTAAAGATAAAGATACACCTACATCTCATCTTTGGGGCAGTTCAAGGTTAATGGAGATGTCCATAAATGCATACATGTGGTCAGTTAGTGATTTCTTTGGTATTGAACTTTTGTGCAAACACCGATTATATTGCATGTTTGTAGAGATTATTAACTGGTCCCTACACTGGGCAGTTGAATATTTCTGTTTCTGATAAAATCATTAGTTCTGCCAATTCGAGGAGGTTAGTTTGAAACTGACAGACGTTTGAGTTTTTGCACAACAGCTATTACATGTTTGGATTGCATCCACCTTCCTCTTCTCCCATTGTTAGGGGCTCCGAGCATGTTTTTCCCTTAAATCACTTGTTCTTGAGCCTTTTCTCATTTTCTTTTTTTCCCTGAAACAGAGGAACTGGTTTCGGAGAACTCTGATGCACTCTACTGTACCGCCACTGAAATAAAGGCATGAGTCTCCCGGACAGCCTAGGACAAGAGGCGATGAGGAGAAAGTGGATTGCCCTGGCTCCTGCAGATACAGAGACCAAGACTCAGTATATGGTTACAGATCCACAGGCTTCACCTCCTCTACGGAAGCAGTTGTGGGAGCTGCACTGACCTAGGTGTCAGAGTGGACAAGGGGTTGTTCTGTGATATAACATTCAAACCAAACAGGGAAAAAAAAAGTATACAAGAGGAAAGCAGTAGACCTGTGAACTTCTTAGCACAGCTGCCTGCTTCCTTTTTGTTATTTGTGATATTTCAGCTTTTTTGGATGAACTATCCTAGATCTCTCTTCCCCAGTGCTGTAGCCATGTGATCTATTTTTTGTTTAATATAAGAATATAGGGAGGTCTTGGCTGTGCTTGCAAATTTCTGATTGTAGGAGGATTTTGTTTTATTAAAATACAGAAAAAAATAAATAATGGGTGAGAAAAGCAAGGTTATTTTTGTTCTTGGCTTTCATTTTAGAAGACTTCTGTTAATTTTGGAATTGTTTTGTGTTATAAAAATAAAGTTTTTTTTTCCTGTCACAGTATTTCATCTGGTGTTTTCAGTCTTTCTGGTATTAATTTGTCCTTCCACAAATGGATAAGTATATTAAGACTATTTTAAAACTTTTATAAATAAGACCTTGAAATCAAAAGCACCCCACAAGATAAACCTTAAATTGCTTTCATCACAATCTGGTTATTTCTGTCCTGATCCCCAAAAACTATTGCTGTGACTGATTGTGCTGAAATATTAGGCAATATGTATACGTTTCGGCTACAGATAAAGGCATCTGCATGGCTTTGTATGTGATGTGTAGTTCTACCTTTTTATCATAAGAGTTGAAAGGAGAAACTGGGCTGATAGTTCTCCTGAGCCTCTTACTATCATAAAAAATGACCAAAAAGACTCCACATCTCTACATTTCAAACCAGTGCAGAATACTTGAGCTAGTACAGTAGGGGGGGTAACCTCTGTCCTCACTCCTGTAGCCCCTGGTAAATGAAGACTGGTGTCCCAATTAAATCGTTCTGTCTCTGTAATAGTTGGCAGCAGATTTGTAAGTGTCATACTGTAACATGGTAACAGTATGTCTGTGTATCCTGTAGAAAAGAGAAAGGCTTCCCTCTTGTAAAAATCCTCTTCCCACTTAAGAAATTTACAAGAATCACATGACACAGTACATTAATTAGTAAACTGACATTTTATTGCTGTGTTTAAAAATGCATTTTGCATTGATACGATAAATTATGTAAGAAAGCTTGTGCTTTTTTTTGGCAAGTGTTTTTTTGCCTTGTTGGATAGGAGTAGCCTCAAAGTGGATTCCTCAACTGGAAATTTAGTTTTAAGGTCAACAGGTGATATAATGCACACAAACCTTGAAGAAGCCCAGAGTATGTACACCTTATTTCTAAGTACCGGTTTTAAACCAGAAGATATTTATGCAGTTGTATTTTCCAATCAACCCTTTTAAAAAACATTAGGGCTTTAGGTCTTACATTAGCGCATTAGTCATTTTATATATTTAAAGAATTTTGTTTTGAGTACACTCACCATCAGGCTTAGAGATAAAGCCCGTCATGGAGATCACCTGTTAGATAAATCATGGAGGTGACAAGAACTGCTGGTTTGGCACAGCATCTCTCCCAATCAGCATAACTTGAATTCAAACGATCAATGACAAACGTTTCAAGGTTTTCACACACGCTTGCTGAACTCTACCTTAGCAAATCTTCCAGATCAATAAAACATAACTCAAGAAAGATAAGGTGTAATACTCAGTTGAGAATTACACCTCAATCAAAAGACTCCCAAGAGTTGACTTCTGTTCTTGCTAGCTTAGAAGAAAACTGTCAAAAACAGTTTGCAGCTCACATCCTGAGTTCTATACTGTATGCCAGTCAAAGTGAAAGACGGCCTAACTTACTGTAAGTAATAGCTATCACCAGTTAGGTTAGGATAAAGAGGTCACTTGTACACTCTCCAGGAACAATAAAAGGTTTCTCAGATTGTAACTTATTATTGTAGGCTAATTAATGGCATCAGCAGACTGACTAATGCATGAGAATGAGGTACAGTATAAAACAGAAAGGAGCTCTAGTTCTATAGAGGTAGAGAGGGGAGTAAATTTAGGCTCTCCTTACAATACAGAGAACTGGGGTCTCTTGCACAGCCATCTTAAAAAGTTATTTCTCAAGCACTTAAGAGAAACTTGTGCATTTAATGAGAACCAACAGATGTTTCAACTCGGTCCTTTTTTAAGTGTTTTTAAACACCTCAGATATTAAAGGCACTTGTTATTGAAGTTAAAAATCAGAGCACCTTACTGTAATAATTACACTGCTAGTATAAAAACCCTGGTGGTGTAAGCCAGCATTTTCCCCCGTGTCCTCTTTCTTCTTTGTAATAGGGGAGACAGTCTGTAGAAAAGGAGCAGACCAGCCTAAAGGGGCAGGTCCCCTCTATTGCATATTTCAGCACCCCTCCCAGTGCAGGGACGAGGGGTGCTTTGGAAAGCTGCTCTGCCACTCAGAGAGGCTGCTGTGCTTCCCTGCCGGTCAGTCAGGACTCAAGGCCCAAGGCGTGAGCCAGGTTTCAGAAGTTGGTTCGTAGTCGTTTGTTCTCCTCCTTCAGTCTTTCGATTTCCGCTACCAACGAGTCCGTCACGGAGTACTTCTCTATCAAGGAATGGATTTCGTTCTACAGGGCAGAAAACAAGCAAAATCGAGCAAAAAGCTCAGGGAAAAAGTTCATGAAAGAACAGCAGCACAGAATGTTTACTGTCACTGGCAATCCAGAACAGAATAAGGTTTTCAAGTAAGCAAACTAACCTCAGAACAAAAGGGTACCTTGAGCTTCAGCATGAATGAAATTTTATGGGAAAACAGTGCTAGCAATATTTTGCAACAATACCCACCTATTTAACCTTATCTCTGATTTTACTGAAAATGCAAATAGTCTCAGAATATATACAATTGTACAGACAGGGCAGAGTTGCTTATTAATCATTGAAAATGCTAGTTACAGCAATAATTATTATATTTTTATTAATAATACACTTTATTTATAATAATTTCAAAACGACATCACACTACTTTTACATTGTATAACAGCTTGGATGGAAGGATCTCTTAACAAATTAATTTATATAAATAACATTATATTAACTTGATTCACTTACCAGTTGGATGTAGAACTGCCTTATCATCTCAACCTGCAGATTGACAATGTCTCTGTGACATGCCTCTCTGGAGAAAACAAAAAGGAATATAAAAGTTAAGAACTATGACCAAAACCTTCTACCTCCTTCAAAGACTGTATTTTACTGTTAATTTCCAAACAATCCCAGATTATATCAAACTATAATAATAAACACTGGATATACCTTTAAGATGGAATGCATAATGGTGCCCATTTTAAAGTTTTACTAAGGAACACATTACTAGGTCTTCAGCTATGAATAAAAATATGACCAAGAGTCGGTAGATAAAATGTGCTGTAATGTCAGTTTTTGTTTTATTTTCCATTATCATTCGATTGTTAAAGGTTTGGCGATAAAAATGTCTTAATGATGAAAAACACTAGTAAGCATATTACTGCTATGATTTTTAATTAGCTCTACATTCATGATTTATTTTATCCTTACTTTTACTCAGACATTTGTTTATAAATACAATAAGTTCCACGTTCTACTTCTACTAAAAATTAGGATCCAAGCAAACATCACCGCATCAAATGAATTTAAACTAGCCAGTTGTTAACGGCATGATGTGATGTGGAAAACAGACGTCATTGCCTCTGAAAGCAAAGGAAGTTAGAAGTGCATCGAGCCTTCCTGTAATGTTCGTTACACTGGCTTTGAGCCTTAAATTGCTTCGAGCATCGACTTTCATGTGTGAGCGATGCCCAGCTTGCTCAGTGCGCACGGCGCAGAGAGGGAATGCTGCTCAGAGCGCTTGTGGTCGTTTTCAATTTCCGCGAGTCCCGAGCGTTCCCGCGGCTCTGGGGCACCTGAAGTCCTCCAGCGTCTCCTGGATCATGTTCCGGATGAAGTGGATCTGGATGGCAGTGAGGGGCGGCGCCCCGCCCCCCTCTCCGCCGATGGACTCCGCTATCCTCTCGGACAGGGAGGAGGCCAGTCCCGCGGCGATCGCCGAAGACGCCGCCGGAGCTGCGACGAGGAGCACACGCACAGTAAACACAAGACGGCATCACGCCCAGCTAAGCACAGAAACAGGGGACCAAAGCAGACAAGACGTCCATTGTGGGTGTGTGATTTCTTGTGACAACTACCTAGCTAAAGAGTGCATACTGGTGATCTTACTCTATGATCTCACCAGAAACGCTTGAGATATTAGAGTTGGGGCTGTGATACCTATCCCATAATCCATTTCAGGGCTTGCTTTCTTTCTTACTAGGCGCTGCAGGAGGGGCTCCTTTTGGGGTGTCATACAGCAGCTCAGCCTGCACATCCTTCCCTCTCCTCTGGCTGAGCTCCGAGGTCCTGGCATGCTGGGGGCTCAGTTCAGAACCCGGGCTGCCAATCTTGTCCGCCTGCATCGCAGTTCAAAAGAACAGGGTGTCAGAAGAGATCTGAAATGCTCGCGCTGCTGCCATTCGCCTTCATGCCGGAAGAAAAAAAAACTCTCCCTGTGAATGTTAATAGTTTTCATAAGAAGTTACATCACAGCTTTATTCCTTCACTTGAAAGAGCGTCTTGACTGCAGAGCGGACGATCAATTTCACGGAGTCTTACTTGTTTAGTATCGTGTAGGACTGGCTCCGGCCTGCCAGCTTTGGGCTTTTCGGTCATTTCCTCCTCCTCCTGTTCCCTGACTGGCCTGGGCGAGTCATCAAACACCTGCATGGGACTGTAGCCCTGGACCCCCGGGGTCCCGAGAGGCGTCCTGCGAGCCGGGAGGGTGCTGGAGAACTGCGACAGGAAGTCCAGCACTGCGGCACACGACCAGGGCACAGGCTTTTAGCAGGCAGGCCGATCACTGCATACTTACCTAACTGACCTTACTTTACAGTACTTGCTCTTTCCTCAATTGGACTTGAATTCTTAATAATTAAATTAACCGTTGAGTTTTAATCATTTTGAAGCGTTGACACCGATACGAGATCGAACGTAAAAATGTAAAATCTAGCCTGGAGAGGTACAGCACAATTTTCTCATTTTGTTTATGATTCTGAATGCTTATGCAATCAATATATTTTAGTTTTTGCTGTCCTTTATTGTAAAATATCTTACTCTTAGATGTCTTTAATTTAAGCATTCAGGTTTTGAATAAAATATCAAGACTGAACGTGCAATATGATTTCATACGAATTTGTAAGTACATACCATCTCCCTTCTTGTAGTCTCCACTTGCTTTTTGAGTTTTGTAATCTAAAAGGAACACACAGGAGTGAGACAAGAGCTTACAGGCCTAAACTGTTGTAGTCCGAAACTGCCTTACAAGCCCACTCTGTAAAAATACAATATTCACAAATGGCTCAGAAACTCAAATATGGAAAATTTAATTTCTGTAGGATTAGTGTTCTAAATCAGACAAATAATCACACTTCTCAATTTTGCAACTTTGAAAACATATGAAGATTGTTTTTTTATTTATTATAAACCATCCATTACCAGTAAGTACATACATACAGTATAATATACTATCCATTATCAGTAAGCTGCTTATGCTCTTGACATAGCAGATGTAGCGAGCCACACCTTATTCCAAAACCACAGGGAACACAGTGGGAAAGGCACCGACATGACATGTGTCTGGGAGGTGAAAGAACACCAGATCACCTGGCGAAACTCTACACAGAGATCCCACAGCCAGAGTGAAACACTGGGTTCTGGGGCTGTATCACAGCAATACTAAATCCCACACCACACTCCATATACTATACACCAATAACATTAAACCAGGCATTTGCATTTGGGACTGAGCTTCATGGCCTCACTTGCATTTTAACATCCATCATTCCTTCCATCTTCCAACTGCTTTAGCCAATACAGGGTTGCAGGGGAGCTGGAACCGGAGCCTATCAACCTAGCAACAAGCGCAAGCCAGGCTACACAACGGACAGGATGCCAGTCCTGCACTGTAACATGTTCTTATATATTTAATTATTAATAGAGCTTTACTGGATTGGTATGGAAAAACGTTGGAATGACATCATGCTGAATTAGAAGACAGAACAGGATTAGGTTTATAATATTACAGAAGATGGTTACTGCAACGTGAGAATCAAGGCCGATCATAGTTCAATAATGCGTGTAACATACTGAATTTGGACAAACTGTTCTATAGAAATATATAACCACAACCAAACATGTATTTAGAGTGGTGGTGAATAACAACTGCCGGCATAACTGACACAATGCCTAGGGAAGTCTATAAATAAACATGTACATGCGCAGCACAAAAAAAACAACAACATTTTGCAGCAAATAAACTGGAGTTTACCATCTCTCACAGGCGAGAAGATATCCAGGCTGTTACGCCCCACACTGTTGAACCTGTCGAGGCTGGGGACCTTCTCTGAGCTTCTCAGTGCCTCTGTCTCTTTGGAAGGAAAGACGTCCAGGCTAGTGCTGTGTGGGATTCCTGTGAGAACACGGACAGAGACTCCTGAACGGCCACTCCACAGCTCAGAAACACTACCGGTGAGGTTTCGGACTTCTCCTTTTGGAATGCAGCATATACCACTGTTCTCTGTTCATTTTTCACTGATAATTAAATACAGTACCCGACACATTTCGTTTTGATAGTTAATCATCTTTTTTCATATTGGTGGCATCCTAGCAGAGTTTTGTCACTGTCAATTAAATTCATGTCCTTTACACACGCAATGCTTCTATGGTTAAAAGAAGTAAGCAAGCTTCAGGCGTATGCGAATCATTAGAAGATAAATGTTCCAGAACTGTTTTTTTTAAAACTAGCATATTGCTAGGACAGAAAAAAATAATAATATAAACAAGAAACTATACTGAACAAGAAAGTTCTCTTACAATAAATCACAGATAATATTTGCAATGGATGTACCTAACTCCAGTTAAACTTTGTGCTGGCATTACTAACCAGGAACATGGACAGCTTTGACGAAATATTACCAATACTAAATGCTACAGCTTTGCCATATGTCACTATCATAAACAGTACCACAACGCTGACTGGAGTAAAGTCAATACTTCTCCAGCACCCCACAGGAAGTACAGTTTAGTTGAAATATGGCGGATGATATCTCCAATTACAAAGAAAAATAGCAAACTGTTCTGTTGATTGATCATAGAGACACCCAGGCTGATCAGTGACCATGTTAGCGTTTCTCAAGCCACTGATTCATCTTAAGGTGGGAAGTGTCTCGGAAACCACAGACAAAAAAGTGCAGCCGACTGATGTTAACACAAGTCATTTTCATTTATAGAAAGTAGAAGAATGTATGCAGTTTGTATAATTTAGCTAAGGTCACCCAAAGGAAAAGATCTACAACCCTTCCAACTCTAGTTTGAAACAGTACAACCTGAGGCAGCCAGGACTGCTTGTGGTGGGGGGGGTGGGATCTTGACAACCAAGTCACACTATTTTAACCGTGATGAAAGGAAAGGCCCGAGCCCCTGACCTGTGCCTTCGGCCTTGCCGTCTCCTCGGTCTCCCCTGCTCCCGGGGGGCGGCTCAGTGTGGGACGGGGGTGCAGGGGAGGTGGCCAGGCTGCTGGGGCCGTTGTTGTCCACGGTCTTCACCGCTGCTCTCTTGTTGGGAGCAGACTGGGCGGTGGAAGTCTTGCTGGAAAGCGCTTTGCTCCCAGACTACAATCAAATAAAAACCCAGGCGTAACATCAGATCCTGCGTCACGTGTGCTTAGATTCCGGCAACTGTCCCACTCCAACATTAAGATCAAAGTCATACTTTCGTTAGGCATCCGTTTTTAGTAATGTCTGAAGTGATACCGAGCGCTGAGAAAGAAACGAATTACTCTGCATGTGTTTTTAGAAAAATAAAATACGAGTGATACTCGCTCACACCAGATCACATGCCCAATGCTTCCATGGCAACTTTCACCTTCTCATCTACCACTGAAATGACGGTACATGCTGTGGCAGAACATCTATGCCACCTGCTCGCAATCCGCAAGACCAGTTTCCGCACCACACCCCTGCTTAGTCTTGGAGCCCCGTCTTGGTCTTGGTGTTTCGGCTGTGCTCTAGGATCATCCCTGTGCCTCCTACTGTTTTTCCATCGGCCCCGGACCCTGTTTGTGTTTCTCCCGGGCTCGTCTGAGGTTTTCCCCTTGGTGCTCCGCTCTACGTGATCTCCTGGTCACTGAACCCGCCCGTTATTTTTTTTATTAAATTATTTTTTTTTTGTCTTGCCCATTTAACCTACACCTGGGCTCAGTTCGCTACATCGACTGCTGCTCCAACTTCGGGTAACTAACCTGAAACGAACACCAGCTTGCACATCCCGTTAAGTAATGCTAAAGTTAAAAAAAAAAACCCACGCAAACCAGAATGTCTAGGCGTACCTTGTGATGGGACGGGGTGTTCTGGAAGCGGAGACAATGCACAGAGGTCTTGTGTGCAGCGACAGTCTTGACAGCGGAGGTCAGCATGCGGAGGTCGTAGAGGTACACCTTCCCCTGGGACGAGCCCACAGCCAGCACCGCGCCATCTGGCATGAAGTCTATCGCCGTGAGAGGGGACTCCACTCGCAGGCTGCGCAGGACACTGCAGGGACACAGCAAGGGAGCTCTTCTAGTTCAAGCCTGCTGGAAAACTGAGACCACTTACTAGCAGCAATTCATGTACGGCATGTCAAAAGTTTTAGGTCATATAGTCTTGCCTGCTGTACCACTGTACTTGTTCTCCAGGAAATTAAAACCCATTAGTGAAAAAAGTCAACTTCAGTTCACAGAATTTGGGTGGTAGGCAGAGCACAAACTTCTGCTGCTAGTTCGCACTTATCTTCCAGAAGAAAACTAGCAGGGTGTAGATTCTGACACAGTGCAGCCCCCGCGGATACTACGCAGCACTGTGCAGATCCAGGCCCAGCTCCACTTGAGGTCTTACATCTTGCTGGAGGTGTCGTAGCAGATGATCTTCTTGTCTAGGCCCACGGTGACGAAGAGCAGCTCGTTGGCGGGAGAGAAGGCCAGCCCAGATGCAGGGGCCTTGTGCGCCCCCTCAAAGGTGTGCTGGTCTTTCTGGGTGTTGGCATCCCACAGGACCACAGAGCCACTGTCAGACACACTGCCCAGCAGGGACTTCTTAAAGTACGAGTACTTCAGGTCATGGATGGGCTGCGGAGAGTGACAGCTGTTTATATCATCTGCTGCAAATGTACTTTCACAATCATGTATTTTAATGGGAAATGGGAGAAACATCAAATGACAAAATGGCACAGAAGTAATGCAGAGTAAATTAGAAAATAGTGTAAAGTCTCAGACAGACTCTGTCCTACAGACTGAAGCAAAACAAAAGTCATTCTTAGTTACACAGTTACACAAGCCAGACAAGTACAATCCTGCAAGGCTCACCTGGTTGGGCCCATGTCCGAAGGGCTTGCTGGAGAGGTTGGTGGTGATGCTGTGCAGAATGATCTCGCCGCTCGTTGAGCCAGAGGCGATGTAGCTGTCACTTCCATTGAAGGCCACACAAGTAACCTCCTCTTTGTGGTCCTGAGAAGAAACACACAGCATCGCTACCGTGAAAAAAGTATCATCATAACAATCTGCAATCTAGTTTTAATATGCTATAAAACTAAGGTGTTATTACTGATAAGGCATATAGGCATCCAGAAAATGTAGGTTTTCAGCATAAAATTATCAGTTCATTTAGGATTATTAGACATTTTTGCTTAAGACTGCAGTAAGATGTTAAACATGCATGGGGACATAATGGAAGGAGCTGAAATGGCAGTTATTACAAAGGTTTCATAAAAAAAAATACATCTGTTGCAAGTTTTACCATAATGCGACACTGCTAAATCGCATTACTGAAAATGCAATTCAAAGGTCATTCACATTGTATAACAAGCATTATGCTTATGGGTTGGCTAAAAAAGCAGCACTGGTGTTTTAAAATCATGTTTTTAAATCTATAACTACCCTTGATGTGAACATTTAAGTGTGTATTTTTATTTCTAGTGGACAGTTCGCAATTGTGGACTTAAATTTCCTAAGCTTCACAAATTGACATTTTTTCTTATGTCATTCATATTGTCTTAAATAGATCTCAGTTGGAAACTCTAATGAGATAGCATCAGATGTTAAGTCACAGCCCTTCCCCTCACTTGGCTTATGCAGTATTCGCATATTCTGCAGGACTGGCTCCATACAGTGTACAGTGGCACAAAACCAACGATGTCATTACCGGTGGAAAAGCGCAACACTGAGACAGCTCAGTGAACTCACAGCACCAATGTGGAAGTGGAAAACCCTGTGATTTTAGAACACAGTAATAATACCAGATATATACGCCTGCTTATAACACACTGTTGTTGGTTCTCACAACTTTTTCTCTGTATTGGTCCTAAAGGCTGGCTACGCAGCTCTCCCGTTAGACAGCATACCTTGAGGGAGCGATGCAGCTTCTTGGTCTTCAGGTCCCAGATGTTAACCGTGCAGTCCAGGCCACCACTCACCATGAACTGAGATGTGGAGTTCAGGCTCACACGCGTCTGCCTTTTCTGAAATCAGGAAGGGAAAGGACTTCCTACATTGTGCCTGAACCAGTCGAGCAGAAGCCCCTTTCATCAGAGAGTGTGCATTAAGCATACAAAGTCTTGTCAGAGGCAAAGTTTTGTAAGGAACCATCAGAAAGTGAACACAAAGCAGCACAACGGCTTCTTCTTTGTACTTTCTTAAATACAATTTTAGTATTTCTGCATAGAGGACAGTAAAATTGTTTAAACCATTACAGTATACGGTTTGCATTAAGGATGATGGGGAAACCTTTACTATCAATATATCATTTTTCAAATAGCAGATATATCAATAAGTGCAAAAAAAAGAGATAGAACAAACTCCACATTCGACATGCAGAGTTACAGATTGAAAACAGAAAGTAGATGAAGGCAAAAGCTCTGTACTCAGACAATTTTCTAATGGATTAAAACTTTATACAGAATAAAAGTATAACTTTTCTTATGGGGAGTGATTGTTCACTACAATGAGATACTGTAGAAGACAAGATGCACTACCTCACCTTCCTCTTCTATTTAGTCCAGAGCCTGTGATGGACAGTAACAATGACATTAACTAGCCTTCTTCCTTTTAACCGTTTTGGTCTTTTTTCCTATATTGTCCTCTACCTAATCAGCACCAAGTTCTTCATGCATCAGCTACCTTCTGTAGTTACCTTTTGGTATCATGACCCTGATTAAAAATATATCATCTTTGCATAAATAAGTGAACCTCACAGTCCTTTGCACCCATGGCTGCTTAGCTCATGAAACATCTTTGTGACAGACAGTGCTTTGCAGAAGCTGGGAGTGTCCGCCTCCCAGCCTCCCAGCCTCCCAGACTCCCAGACTCCCAGACTCCCAGACTCTCAGACTCTCAGACTCTCAGACTCACCTCCTCAGCAAGCTCCAGCACTGGGACAGGAGAAGACTTACAGCTCGACACCACCAGCTTGTCCCCGCTGGCACTGGCACTAACCAAGAAATGATCTGAGGAGGAAGTCAAGGCCATTGAACACACAAGCTTACGCGTTGCGAAACTGAACTCGGCAAATACACTGCACTGGCAAGCATGACCTCTAGACCTTAGACTGATACATTCACATAAAAATAGTACTGGCTTCTAAGATAGCTAAAGACTTTATTTAAGGAAAAAAAAATTCTCAAAAATAGGCTTTGTACTACAGTACATGAATCAGGATCTGTAGTGGTTCAAGACTGTAACACTGATATTATTCAACATCCTGATTTGTGTAGTCAGGATTGTGTTCCATTCAGATTCATTCTTCCTGTTCCAAAGTTTTTTGCTATGATGTACAGCATGGGTAAATCTATACGCTTTAAACAAAATATTTTACAAAAAGCACACCACTATAAAACAAGCCCTCATACTAAGCTGATGTGTAATGTTTCAATCACCATCAAATCAACTTTTATCCTCTTAGCTTCAGTTAATATTTCAGACAGCATAGTAGATCCTACCTCATACTGCTTTTCTTGTTACAATTTGAGTTCACCGTCTCTTTTAGAGTGCAGTGGAGCTGTGCTTTATACACAGTTGTACATGACGTGCACAGTCTGCTCCTTTCGTGGCTGAACACACAGGGATGTAGAGCACAGTGTTACACTGTTCCCACTTTCCGGCTGTAGAGAAATGTCCACCCAAACTGGTCAGTGCATGAACAGATTGTGCTGACCGGTGCGTTAAGGATACTGTTGCTGCTCCAGCACACTCGGGACACAGGGTGAGTGATGCTGTGGGGGTTGAACTGCTCGACTACTGTCATAGAGCTCGAGTTCCAGATCTTCACATCGTCTCCGGATGACACCAGTCGAATGGCCTCATCCATGGATGCACCTGCCAAATCACAAGCAAAGTACTTGAGCACTGAGAGGGAAGACTGCAGAAGAGCACAGAAGATGGTACACCATCACAGTGCTGAGTTAGTTTACCGGATGCCTGAGTTAGGGAAATTGAAAAGGAAATGTTCACTGGCAAAGACTGAAGCATTGGGATAAAAGAGTCTGGACTTTCGGTTTTGCAAAGAATGTCAAATGACAATTGTTTTACATAGAAAAAAAGCTGCTGGATTTGCAATGTCAACATGCCCTGAAACATCTTTTCAAAAAATACTGCAATCATTATTTAAAGCACTGTGTTGCACAAGCTCAAATGACCATCTCCTTACAATGATGGTTATAAATAGAAGTGAATTACCCATGTTATAACTTGGCCATGTGGAACACAGCTTTCATTTCATTTACTTGGTTGTTTCTGGGAGTGTTTTGAGTATAGAAATGATAATATTAGAAAGGAACACCATTATTGCAGAGGGAATGGCTCTTGAGTGCTAACTGGTTCATTAAAAATGATTTTAAAACACATTTCAAGCAACACCTCACGCCAGCGATAATGTGCATACAGAAGGTTCTACCAGACCTACTGTAGTTGCAAATAAAACAGAACCACCATGTTCAGGTCGCAGGAACTGCAGTTGTTTTGTAATGTGATGCCATTGCACAGCTGATGCCCTTCAAAGTGGTGATGGGCTGTGTGTTAGGAACTGCAATGACTACAGCTGCCCACTCTTGTCCAGCTGGCTAACCAGGAAACAACAGGAAATATTGCCCAGTTCGGTGAGGGGCACACTACACATGTACAGAGGCACTACAGAAGGCAAAAGCACTCAGGAATACAAATAAAATTGTAACCACTGGGAATCCTGCTCATGACTGAAAACAAGCACGGACATTGAATACATAAATATGGAGTATTAGCATACTTACAACACTAAAGAGGCATATTTATGCCCTTCAACCCTTGGTGAAACCTTGTTCTTGAAAGAACAGGAAAATACATACACAAATGCTATGACCTACTGGTAATTGTGGGATGCTGAAAAAGGCTACAAGAACAATGTTCTCCTAACCCCCTTATCATTACTGTTATTATCATAAAACAATTACCTAAGAATAATTTAGACCACACTTGGTCTTATTACTGCGATTCTGCTGAGGTGGGGTTGGCAACAGAACCACCATTTCATTGGGATCATGATTTTATGTCTGTTCCTCTGTCGGTGAGTGTTGCTCAAAGGTACCCAATCATGAAACTATCCTCACCACCAAATTATTTTGTACCGTGCTTTACATCCTCGTTAGTATGCAGTGAGTGAGCAAGCTTGTCAGTGACTGCTGTTTGCACAGGACTGGACGATGACAGAATTCAGGCTAACATGACATATTAAGAGCTATGCAGTGAGGTGTAAGGAACTCTTTTCATGCCGATGTTGTTAGTGACCAGGATTAGATAAGTGCCTTTGCCTCAATGCACAAGGCAGAATGAAGAGATCATTTCAAGCTCCTTACGTTTTTTGTCCTAAAACTACATCGCAAATAACCATTTTCAAAAGTAAGCTCTTAATAGTGCACATGTACAGTAGCAGCATCATACAGCCTAAATAATTCAAGAAGTCTACAATATAATAGGAAAGTGCACGCTTTATTTCTGCAAACCGCCTCAAGGTGTTTGTCTAAATGTCATTTTCTCCAGCTCTGTAAGCGTATTAACTTCAAAATCCGCATGGCAAAACTTCGGATTTCTTTTAAAATAAGAAATACCACAAAGCATATTAAACGTGGCCAGAAACTCGTATTATTCATGTAAATTCATGTATTCATGTAAATGTGAAAATAAAGTTTTATGTGGGTTTCACCTATACGTTCACTCACAGATCAAATGAATACACAGTTGCGTGAATAAGTCGCAGCTAAATCCAGCATGGCTACCTGACAGCGAGACTGGGAAATATCTACAGATGCGTCACGTTTACAGATGAATTTGAAAATCGCAATACAGACAATTAGGCCAATATCGAGCCGTAGTCTTCGCAGCATGAAAGCGGGACCCGCTAAATCCGGATCATCAGCTGCTCATATTTAATTGAAACAAAACGGCAGGCTTATCAATATCAATACCAACTGTTGCTGGGACAACCTAACAATAAATAAGAAGTTTCTGGTCAGCTTTTATTATAGTTACGATTCGCCCCCCTTGCAACTCGTTGCCTTTCGCTAAGGTTTTCACGTCTGCTGTTTATGTACATACTTGACAAGGATTATCCTATAATTAGCGGCGGACTCGAACAACCCCAGAGCCAGGACCCTTACCTTGGCTACTTCACTCGACTAGCAGGTGGTATTTATTCCCTCCCCCAGTTTTCCTGCAGCACAGCAGGTCCAGTCCCTCTATGGTTTTGTGGCGCGGGGGAGGGGGTGGTTTTGCGCTACTCCACGGTTGTCCCCGCCACCCTTCTCTCTCTTCGCCACTTCAGTCTTCACTCCGTTCAACGCCGCACTAAGTTTCCGGCCCCCCGCAGGAATTTCCGCGCCTGCAGGCTCCGCGGCGCCCGCCGCTACGGCAACGCGGCGGGGCCAAGAGGCGAACTCGACCGTGCGGCTCCCGAGAGGACTGGCCGGGTGGGAGCTCAGCGCGTCTGGCTCTCGGCTTGCAAAGCACAGACTCGTCTACGTCAGCAGATGCGAGCCGGCGCTCGGATACCGTAACGCTGTGTTGCAGAAAGTACCGGAAAGTTTAAATGCAGTGGCCGTTCACACTACTAGCGATTCGCCCAACACCCACTTGTTTTTCCATTGAAATCCGTTTGTAGTAACTTCGTACTTCACTATAGTAAAGTCGTTTGAACTGCAGTTGTTTGTGTTAACAGGACTCGGGACCGATTGCCTTTTGAAAATGTATTATATACAGTATGTGACCCCACTTTTACTTGTTAATATGATGTATAAAGGACATGGCTATTCAAAAAAATAATACAAGTGACAGTTTTCTTGATTATTGACGGAAAGTATAGGTAAGTAACGAAAGTAACGAAATCTCTCTCCTGATGATAGTTTTAGAATACCCTAAATCGGCACTGGTCACGTTTTTAAACCCATAATGGACTGGGTCTTGACAAAACCTTGGCTACATAACTCCTGCTTTATATTTTATACATAGGTATATTTGAGGAAAAGTGTAACGTCCTATATACCATAATCAAGTCTGCATTATAAAATTCTCCCTCTGGGTAAAGACTGAGTCCTGTGTTCATTTTCCTAGTATTTCATTTTTGAATTATTTTTTTTTTCTGGATTTTATATTTCTATTAGTACCTTGTTATTTTGTACTTAGTATGTGCGATTTTGAGATGCCTTTATGTAGTGATCTATAGTATATAGTTTGATACTGTTATAAAAAAAAAACAATGCTTCACAGCTTGAGTTATTGGGCAGTGTTTCAGTCTTTCAAATGGGAATGCCTGTCCTGGGGTCTATTAATATTGCAGACACTGCAGTTGTATTAATGCAGATTTGACTAATAAAGCCACAGCATCGCTTTCTGTACAATTACTAGCTGTAAAAGCCTTGGTGAAACAACATTGATCTGATGGGTGATGTGCTGGATTAAAAACTATTTTTTTGGAGTAATAATCAGATTGTGATATTGGGATAGGACAATGGAGGTTATGATAAGGTACTCATTAAAAACACTTGAGATGCTCTGTAGATACACATTCATTTTATTTCTGCCACACTGACGTGGACACCATGAGGAAACATTCAGACTGTTGATATCTTTGTAGGCCTCAGACCAGCAGGGACATGAGCCAGTCGAAGACGCTACCCGCTTGAAGCACAAAGCCTCTGGCGGGGTTAAAGCACTGCTCCAGATCACGCAGGGCCTGATTGCTCAGCTCAAAGGGAACCTTCAATGGAGACAAAAAGAGCAGAACAACAGGCAGTATTAGACTAAATAGCAAGACAGGTGTTTCTGTATATGAAAATTCACTTAGGATAGTCTTTTTCATCAAGTCCAATTACACATCACACAGCTAATACACTACACCCAAGAGCACAATAACATTATATACCAACAACTGGCACTTCCTTTCCTTTATGACTAAATAATCCAGTGCAGAGCCCCAGATTGGTGATAGTAAAGGACATACTGTGCTGAAAAAGGACTAGGGCTGAAGCCCAGCACGCAATACAAGCCAGGCAGAATTGTGCAGGTATATTTATAGTGAGGCCTCAGCTGGAAAATCTACAGCTGCAGTGAGACAGTGATGGTGACATTTCTACACAGCACGTACAATCAGAAAAGTCATTGTAGAAGGCAAAGTAGCAAGTAAACCAAGTAGTAAGAAAAAGTGTACATGAAAATAGCACAGAATGATAGACTTCTGAAAACTCCATGCTGGAATATAGGTGTAGTTAGGACGTTCTCACACTCAGTGCAAGATTGTTCCAAATTTAGTTAAATTTCGGTTTAGGGCAGATGTCATAGCTACACAGGGGTTGAAGAAGTTCAAGTAGGTAGCTTCGTCAGCATGAGTAGGCTGCAAAGGAACAGGTAAAGGTTTATTCCATGCTGAAAGAATGGACGTTACGTTTTTTTTTCTTTTCCTTTCAGCATGGCTACACATTGTTTTGTACAGTATGTCCCTGAGAATGACACATTTTGGCAAGGGAGCTAAGTGGAAGGAGACTCTCTTGATATTTAATGTAGCACACCTCTTTACCAAGTGGAAGTCCTCTGAGCCTCTTGCTTTCTTCAGAATGAGGCCTTCTTAAAATATTTTTCTAAGGCTTAAAAGATTTTTTCGGAGATTAAAATAACCTGAAATATACTCTCATTTTTTCCATGGGTGGTTAGTAAGTTCTTTATAAAGGTTTGTTGTTTTACTTTTATTTCTAATGTAAAAAAAAACAAAGCAGATGTCTCATCTTGAGTTGTAAACTTTAGGCAGGGATATGAAGTAGTGGTTAAAACTTCACACTTCAGTCTCCATGAGTTCAAATCCATGTTGGGATTGTTGTACCGTTGAGCAAGGTGATTTTGTCAATAAATACCTTGCTGTATGAATTGATACACTCAAGGCAGTCACTACAAATGAGAGATTTTAAAGGACTTATGTAGTTAAATGAAGGATTCATTTCAAATGAAATTACAATTTCAATTACAATTCTGCAGTTGAAAGTAAGAATTCTGCATTCTGCAGAGTAAGGATGGAAATTTTTACTTTTCAGTTTACTTTAGAGCAGAATACCTAATTCCCAAGGCAACGCAGGGAAATCTACTACGATCATGCTGAACTTGCAGTAATACTAAAACAAAATGAGCACTTAGATTTAACTGAGGCAATCAGGGACAATAATAGTGCTCCACTGTCCAGTCCTGAGCAGACTCTTTTTTTTTTCTTCGCTAATCAGAACAGACTTGGTCAAGATCAAGAAATTCTTAGCCTTTCAGCCTTTCATCATGCAACTTATTTTTTAAGTGCACTTCCAACATATTTTACTTCTCTGAAGGTGAAGCAGCGTACTGAAAAAGGCCATTATCTCACTCTGTTTCTGTTTATTTCATGGAAATCCCATTTTCCAGCTATGAGGTGATGACCATAGTGAAGCCCAGAGCAGGAGACCTACCTCAGTGAGCTCCACTGTTTCTGGGAGATCCAGCAGCAAAGACTTGACTTGTGCGCAGCACTGCTTGGCCTGCCCCTGCAGACCCAAAGAGAGGAGCATTAATATTCCTCATGCTAAACTGCTGCTTGTGTCATATACTGTGTACAAATATACATAGAAATCAAAACACTTGAGAAACCCAATCCCAGATTCAAGGTAAGCTTTCAAGGTAAGAAAATTCAAATACCATATGGCAATACCATATGGCTTGCATCCAAGAAAGACAATCCCTTATACTGGAAGTGTTCATCTGATAATAAACATGGAATCTGTATCCCGAATGGCTGTGCGATTCCATGTTACATTCTCATTTCAGCAGCCTTCTTAAATGTTCTCTCTGTGAGTGAATTTTGAATTTCTTTGTCTTTGTAATACTCGTCCTGTGTCTGCTCTTCAGCCTCTCAGGCAGTGGACAGTACCTGTATCGGAGGGTCCAGGGCTTGCCCCGTCTCCGGGGTCCTTGCCTGACGACGCTTCTCCACTTGAGGGCTGGGGGAACTGGCCACAGGAGGTGCCGATTGCTCAGCATCCACACACAGGGAGCATAACTGGGCATGAACAGCCTGCAGCCTGAAAAAAGCGAGAGGAGGAGTCCGAGATGAAGAGACAGGACAGCAGAAGATGGAAATTGCTGGAAAGATACTGGCAGGGGTTGGAGAGAGGGTTCAACAGAGCGAAGAGAAGGGCGGTGAAAGTGGTCCTCAGAAACTCTGAAGAAGGGATACAGGGGTGACCACAGACAAAGAGGGCAGGCTGTCACCTATGTAAGGGGATCCAGCGATGTCCACAGTGTAGGCCGGACAGGCCACCACCTGAGGGCCTGGCTGCGGAGAGGGGCCTGGTGTTGCAGGCAAAGACCAGTAAGATCTAGAGACCAGGGGCACAGCAGCACACAAATCAAACCTAACTCAGAACAATGATACAAAGATCATTAAATTCATTATTATATCCCTGAGAATCATGATCACTGATTAAAATGATGTCACCAAACAGTTACAATTCCATTTGTATGTATGCCCTACAGTATGTGTTACTGTTGTCTCGTCTGTTACTGTCATTATTCAGTACTCAAGTAAGGTGGCATAGCATTACGTTGGGAAAAGACTGAGTAACTTTTTTGTGTGAATAGTGACAGACAGTTACCACAGGCTGTGTGTGTCCAGTGTGCAGTGCTGGGCAATACCACTGCACACACAGTTCTCGGTCTGTGGAGGCTGAGGCAAAGGAGTCCAGTCCCCCCAGGCCGATTTCAGACTCTTGGCCAGCAGAGCTGTCTAGCTGGGGCTGAGGAGAAAAGCACATGTCTGTGAATTGGCAAGCCGTGGAACAGCTCAATTGTCTTAATTGATACTTTTTTAAAATGAACATTTTAAATGGTAATGGGCCCTTTTTACAAATAATTTACAAAATTTACAAATGGGCCCTGTTTTTTGTCATTACACAGAAAAGCGTACAGACATTAACCTCATCTCTAACAGCTCTCAAGTAATGTAACCCCAAGGAACGAGAAAGTTTGGTTGATATGTGCCTCTCATCTGTTCAGCTGGAGTCTCTCTGAGTTAATGATGCAGAATAATCCCAAAGCCTTTTCCATTCCAGACACCCCAAAGCTGTTTGCTGTAAGTTTCTGGTAAATAACAAGTTCATTGAGATAGAAACTTTCCTTTCTTTGAATTCCTCTCTTCCACATGTAATGTGTAATGCATTATGAAGTCAAAGTGCAAAAACAAAATGCCACATTGGTATTTTTATAACTGGTACTGAAGTCCAAGTCACAGAGCCTTTCTGGCAATTGGCCTGTATTGAGTTTTTAAACCTAGAAGTAAAACACCACACCCTTCTTTCAGGACAATGCTTCACATCAGCAACAAGAGGTTGGGTGAGCAGTGTAAACTGAGCTCTAACCTGTGTGGTAGCCCCCTGCTTGCTGGGGTCCAGCAGCTGCGTGGGGGGTTCTGGGGGGCAGCAGTGCCCTCTGTAAGGGGGCAGGTGAGTGCTGAGGAAGCGGTGCAGCTGAGCCAGTCTGAGGGCCAGACCACCATCTAGAGCCTGGGACCACAGGCTGTCGGCACAGCCTGGCACTGCTGCAACACACACAGACACAAATCCACATCAACACCAGGCCTGAGGAGTCACGGCAATCTGGCATAGGAGGAGGATAAGAACTTTTTAAAATAACATAAATCAGCAGAAATTTTGCACATCAGAAATTTTAAGCACTGTCTTATCTCGCCTCTTCTACATACTTCTACTAGGAGTTAAAAGGATCTTGAGAAAACATGCTAGCATTACCCTGTAGGAATGACACACAATAATTTACTTGTACACGTTCTCTTCTAATCTAGGCAGTGGAAAAATAATTTAACACGAAATGCATCGTTGAGGAACATGAAGGCACCAGGATTATCAATGTGAAGTGATGATTCTGGTAGCTCATGTACTGCATGATTGGGATCACCTGTAGGGCAATGTCACATCTGCTGTATGAGATGGACAGCAGGTCAGTACCTGGTCGATTGGCAATGCTGTAGAGTTTTTGCAGATGTGTGTAATAGCGGGTGAGGTGGACCCAGGTCAGCTCTGTGTCTTTCTCCCCTGTTCCACAGCTCTCCTTCTCAGGAAAGGGACTGATAGTGCTCTTCAAAAGTTCCTCTGTCTCGCCTAAAGGAAAGAAACGCATCAGAAAACAGAAACAGTATTTCTACAGACAGAAAAACGCTCACTGTCACACGTAAACACTTGGTAGTGAGGTGTAGCTTGGAGGTGTGTCTGTCAGCACTGCAGCTTCATACTTCAATACCTGGAGGGGGGAAAGGGGAGGGACCATCAGCCTGGGACCCCCCAAGGATTATTCTCTTCCATGGGGAGTCTTTGTTTTCCTCTCCTCTGTGTCTGCACGGTCTACTGTTGCTGTATAATACTGCCAGCTTCTGTATAATCCTGTAATTACTCTGCGGGGCAAACTGCTGTGAAGGGTGCTACAGAAAAGAACACGACGGACTGGTTGATGGACCGTACCGCTGGCGGGGGGAGGGAAGCCTCTCAGAAGGTCGTTGGCAGCAAAGGCGGGCAGGCTTCTCAGGGAGGCCTGCAGGGGGCCAGCCTTGGCGCTGGTGGAGCCACTCAGCTTGGCACAGCGGGCACTGGCCTTGGACACCTGTGAGGCACACAAGCATGCTCAACAGCAACGCCTTCACTGAGAATGCCAGGGCCGAACGGATTAGTGGACATTTTCAGATTAATTTAGAACTATATGCCCCTGAAAGGAGAAAGTCAAACCAGTAGGGAGGGAAGGTACAAATACAAACGTCCTTAATTTTGAAGGTGGAACAATCATTAATTTGGGACACAAAAACCAAAATCCAATCCATATCAAGCACAATCACTTTTGTGTGAAAATTGAATATTTTAAATATTGTTATATTGTTTTAATAAAAACAACAACAACAACAACAACAAGCAACAAGATTTGATAACATTTTTTTTTAAATCTGGAATTACCAGTACCAGATAGAGATGCTAGCTTTAGACATTTTTACATTTTTGTAAATTTCCATATTGTCCACATTATGGGCAACATATCATAATAAAAGAAGTGACTTTTAATAAAGGGTTTGATGGTAACGTATAGCCTTAAACTACAAAGGGAAACAAATTTCTACCACATCAGAATTATTAATACTTATACAAATAATACTTTACACTTTACAGGTGTAGTAACAGCTTTCAATAAAATACAACAACAAAATTAACTTTGCGTCATCCTGTGGACAGTTACAGTGGCAAGATTAAACAAGTAGCTTGTTAAAGGCCCCAGGATCACTGACCTGAACAGCTGCCCTCACACACACCCAGCACAGGAGCTGCTGCACATCCTGCACACTCAGGGGTCTGTCTGTGGGGGTCTGAGCTCGCCTCCAGCCGGGGGGCTGCGCGAGACACACAAACCGCATTGACTGTCACAAGCACAGAATGGCTGAAAGTCACAGCTGAAAACCCAGCACATCAGTCAACAAGCATTAGGAAAGAGGAGTACCACCAAAGGGATTGAAATACTCACTGACCTAAATAACAAGCAGCACAGCGGTAGGAAAAAAATCAATTATTGGAAAAAAGAACCTTGATGAGCTGTGTGTTAATCTTAGAGTTAGGATGTGCATGTTTGAAATCGCTGGTTCTTAACCTGTGCTCTGCAGCCTGCACCCCTTTGGTCCTCAAAATGTTCTCCAAGCCCGTATCATACAACATTGAAGTCGGTCAGTTCTTTATACAGTACCTAAGATAACTATAGAATGAGATGGAATTAAATATTTTAATTTTGCAATTAAGAATACATGTAAAATTACACTTTTTTAAGAATTATATACAGTAAAGTTATTTTCAAGGTAAAATGAAGAATACATGAAAAATTACACCCTGCTTTTTAAGTTACCTTTAAGTTCACCTTGAAATACCAAGGTTTGATGATGGTGGTATTTACAGTAGGTGCCTGTGCCTAATTTGTGTTTTTGGCAATTTACACTCTAAAAAACCTGTCTCACACCCCCAGAAAAGGTATCTCTCAACCCCAGGTGGGTGTGCAGCCCAGGTTAAGAACCACTGTTTTAAATGGAGGTATTTTGTAATGTTCAAGTCTGAAAGTCCTCTTTTCTTGAATCTTTCCCATGGCAAGCTGTAATATGAATATGGGACTGGGTCTTTCACAAAGAGAGAAGCTGTAGATCTGTGGAGAAGAAGTGGGGCTGTACCTTTTGCTTGCCCTCTCTGCCCTTGGTGGGGGGGCCTGGGGTGGCTGCAGAGGATACTGGGGCTGTGTCCCCCGAGTTCTCCTTGCCCTGGCTGCTCAGAGAGATCTGGGCCCACTGTTGCAAGTACAGCACGGCCATCTCCAAATAGCACCTGTGTACAAGCCTGAGAAATACACAGGCATTCAACAACAAAGTGACACAGAGATAGTATGAACACATCTACTGTAATAAGAGTATGATCCAAGCAGCACAAAGGCACATAGTCACACAGGCTCTCTGTGTGCTGCAGCGCATGCACGGACAGCCACAGAAAGGAGACTCACGGCAGGTTGTGATTGTGCGATCTGCTGACAGTGATGGCCTCTAGGAATGTGTCCACAGCAGTCTGCGGTTTGCACTCACTGAGGGAGACCAGCCAGCGCTCCACCACACCTGGAAGCACATTGGTAGTCATGGAGTTTAGGAGCATAAAGGAAATGTTTAGGTGGAGATCCTTAGGTTTTCAAAAGCTTATTAATTTAATACCTTTATTAGGCCAGTTCCTAGCAAATTGGCATCATTGTAACAAACAGACTTGAATTCTACTATGCAAAGTAAAAGGATGACTGTAATGCACACTATTATAACATGATCAAAGGGATCTATATCTTCCATTTCTTATGATACTGTTCTCTGGAAATGTTTCATTTTAGACAGACACGCGATCTTCAGACTATCTTCATCTTCGTATTCTGTACAACATATCATAAAAAAATGTGACATTTAATATAAAGAGGTTAATGGTAACCTCCTTTTCTACCAGTATGACTACTCAAAACTATTAGCTTATGTTAAAATTGGCAGAAACAAAAATATTCTAGAAACACTGAAATGAGCAAACCTCATTTTAGATAATTAGATAATTCAAACCTCATAATCAGATACTGTATATGATCATTTACTCCACTGAAATCTTCCCATATTAAACACATTTAATCTCACAGTCCTCTCTCCGTTTCATGTTAATTGTACACTGATATACTTTAATAATGAATCCTGATAGTAATCCATCCACTGTTGTCTCCACTAAAATACGAATTCCTGACACCTATTAAAGAAGATCAGATCTTAAGCATCTTTTTTTTTTTAGTTCTAAGCTTGCTACTTAGGTATGTTAAAATCCTGTACTGTACTGTTTTGTATTCATAATTTATCTTGCGTTGTTTTATTTAATTTACAATGCGTTACTTTTTATTCTATACTGGTAATGTACACAATATTACATAACTTTTATAATACAGTAATCCCTCACTATACCAATTTTCATTTAAACAAGACAGTACTTCCTACCTGTTTTTTTTCATCTAACAAGCAGATTTTGTCTCTGAAGATCTGGGCTCTCCTAAAGCATTACAGAGATTCTTCTTTTCTCGCATCATCTCGGATGAGCAATTTACTTTTTATTTATATCATATTAAACTTTTAATAATAAAATTTATGTATTAACCTGTGTATTAAGTGCATAAAGTACAGGATAGTACCTACTGTAATGTTTATGCATTTGCTAATGACTGTAATGATGTAATTACTGCATTGCACTGTAAATGAGCTAGTGTTATTATTTTACTACTTATTGTTTATGCATCAGCTTTTGACTGTAAGCATGTTACTCAGATAATTAACCAGGAATGTTACTGTTTTCATTCCGGTCCTGTTTTGTGTTAAATTAAGGTGAAGTCTGAATGTTTGAAGGAACATTTTTTATTTCTGGAAAGAATCAGAGATTATAAATAGGAAGTAATGGGAATTTAATTCCATTATATGAATTTTCACCTTTTGAGCTGATCTTTTTTTGGAATTAAATAAGTTTGTATAATGTGGGATTACTGTAAAGGAAACGAGGTGTTTCTGTCATGTTTTTTTCTCTTGAACACTCTATGAACTGCTGTCCCAAGCTCACTCACCTTTGTAGTACAGGATGTCGGCCTCTAGCTCCCGGTCTCTGCTGGCTGATACCTGGCAGAGCTGCAGGGCCGATTCTAGGACCTGCTTAGCCACCACCCACTGCCCGCTGTCTGTGCCAGGATGGTGTGCTGCCTGCTGTGCCAAAACATGACCTAAAGAATACCAGTGTAGAACATGAACATTACTATTCTGAGAGGGATAATCATCATACAACAATTCATATTACGCACTGCGAATCTGTGGGACAAGATCATCAGTTCAACCCACTGATAACCCAGGCAGATCTTCAACATCTTGAATGTCAGCAAGCATACTTTTCATCTATGTACAAATCCTAAGAACATATAAACACATCTGTGCCACAATGTCTGCCCAATTGCTGACAATAGCAGTGGTTTTCCTACCTCAACACACCTCCTGCAGTGGGACACTGTCTACCTACTGTAGTACCTACTGTAGTTCAACCTATCTGTTGAAAATCAGCTTCAACGCATGTTGTTTTGCACAAAATTGCCAACAAAAAAAGGCAACACAGATCTGTCAGTTTCACGTGTGCCATCATATGATAAGCCTTTAAAATAGGATCTAAAAACAGCTTCCACAGTTGTATAATTTTCATTAAGTCCCATGCTGATAAATAACTTAAAAGTGCAGTAAAAATGCTTTCCAACAGTAAAATGACCAGAGCTGTCATTTTAGATGCGATGCTTTCACATTAACAAACATGCTAAACCGGATTGAAAATAAGCAGGCCGTGACCCAGGTGGATATTGCAAGTGCGAAAGGAGCACGCATTGCAAGAAGCTTTGTGTTGGCAATGTTGGTATCTTACCCAGCCGGAGAGTCACCTTGGCCAGCACAGGACCATGTGGGAGATACGTGTTCTTTGGACCTGATGATTGGTGGAAGAGCACTACACCTCCCTCTGCAAGTTCTACTGACTCCCCCAATGCGGAGAGCTGAGAAGAAAAACAGTTATGGACACTGACGGTGTGATATGAACTTATAGTTACCAACACCCCTTTTGGTATAATTTGAATAAATTAATAACAGGTTATAACAAAATAATCATAATAAATCATATACATCTGTAGTGTGATTTCATTCTCAAGGATACCAGAGTGCTTTACGTACAGGATGGGGAGGGAATCCACCTCATCCACCATGAAAGAGCAGCACTCAGCGACACCATGCTCATTATGTACAAGCACCCCTACCACACAGCAGATCAGGTAGAGAAGTCATTCTCTTCACCAGCTGAATTATGGGGGATCATAAACTAAAGGGCAAGTTAATTCTGGTTTAATTTAGCTCTATTCTTAACAACTTTTTGAACAATGCATCTTGCTCAGCATTCTACCCCTGACTTGAACCCCTGGTTTGGGGTTCATAACCACTATTTCCCTGCAATACAAAGAGAATACAATGCAGTGGAATGGAATTCCGTGAGAGTGATAAACTGAAAGAGGCACCTGTTGCTGCAGTAGTCTCTGAGTGAGGGAGTATAGGCTGTGAGTCCCTGTGCCCTTCAGATCACTGAGGTGCAGTGTAGCTTTAGCCAAAACAAGGGCTGAGAGAGGGGAGAGCCATCTCCTGTCAGACAGCAGACTTACTGCTTCCTGAAATGCACAACAGGATTAACAATTTACATTGATGTAACACTTCTCAGTGCAACGCAATACTTCACAGTGAGAACCCAGATGTAGCCAATTGATATGGCTTTAGCTTTACCATAATGTGTTGGTCATGCCAATAAAATGCCCTTTAAATTGAATTAATAAACCCAATGAATTAAACCAAAAATCTTGAGAGCACTTATAAACAGTATTTAAGGTGAGAGGGTAGCAGTATGATTGTGTTTGTCTGCAGAGGAGTTATGTCTGACCTGAAACAGCGGTGTGATCTCCTCTCTGTTCATCCCCTTGTGCGCCTCTAGCAGAGCTTTCAGTAGAAGAAGCTGAGCCTGTGTTTCAGGATCTCCCCAGGCCTGTGCCTCTTTTAGCCCCTCTTTCAGCAGCCTGGCCCCATCCTCACTGCTCTCTGCACCCAAAAACACAGAAGATGGTGTATAATGCTCTACAAAATGTTCACTGAGTCCACCTCACAATGTAAATCAGAAGCACTGATATGATTTTACAAGAATTTACATTCTTTTCTTAGCAGGCCGAAGAGTAAATGTTTTAGAACCATGTCCCCATTCTTCCAGTTCAGACCAGATGTATGGTAATCAGATTAACAAAAAGTAACAAATAACAATTAAAGGATTTCACATTGGTGCAAACGCAGGCACACAGGGAGGGAACAGGCATTACAAAAGAAAAAACAAACCATGGAGGCTGACCACAGCAATATACAGTACCTGGGCGAATGGCCATTCCGGGAATATGAGAGGCAAATGCCCTTGCTGCACCCAGGCGGCACCGGAGCCACAGAGGTGCACCCAGCCTCTCACGGGCCTCTGCACTGTGGGGCACATCACTGGTGAGAGAGACTGAATCTTCCTCCAGCTCGTCCTCTTCCTCCACCTCACTCACGCTTGTAGAACCAGCCTGGAACTCCAGAGAGAGAATGGATACAAAGTACCAGGTCAGTTCCAGAGCAAACCTGCAGATTTGTGGATACTTTACTGTACAGTATATACTGACTCTTGTTATCTCAAGGTTTTGGGGCTTTATACAGTATGTGTATGGTGACACAATTAAAATTATTCTGTCTGTAATTCCCATGTGGGAACATTAAGATCACTCTATGCCAAACTATCATACTCAGGCATAATTCTGACACCATTACTAAGAACTATTATTTATGCTGCTGATAATTCTTACTAATGTTTATAACACTCAAGCATGTCTGGAGGTTTATGATCCTTCAGCTTTTCTCAGGGACTTCAAACATCTACAGTGGTCAATGTTCTGCATTCAAAAGCGAAGACTTGTAGTGTCAAGTGGATATACTGTTCAAAACGTCAAGTGCAATCAAAAAGCTCTAAGGCTGTGTCTTAAGGTGGTGGTATAACTGTATTTCTGATTTAGATCTCTGTTCTTTTATTAAACAACAATCTTCTTGCTTTAAAAATATTCTTCTTACTAGGCAGTATTTTCCATTGCAGTGTGATCCATCTCAGTATCCAGAATAATATAACAGAGACACCTTTGCAACCAACTACCATGATAATAACTTTTCATAAAATCTGATGTTTAGAACTGAACAAAGTGATGCCATGGGTATACCTGCTCCTTCTTTTGTCCTGGGAGTTTGAGAGCGGAGGAGATGAGCCTGTGGGGCGGTGGGGTCCTTTCCTTGAACAGGGGGGACTCTTGGAGTAGTTGTAGAGCAGACACAGCCTGACTAGCACTGCAGGACAATAGATTCCAAAGAGTCAGCATACAGACGCTGCACAGCACGGCATACTCAGCGTAGCACAGAACGCTCATGTAACATAAAACCATGCAGGCAGCAGCTTGATAACAGCTGGCACACACAGGACAGCTTTGCTATACCTGACACCAGCTTGGCCTTGCTGCAGAGCAATGGCAGAAAGCAGCAGCTTCGCCTCCACTGCTACCTCCAGCTCCTCAGCCACACTCCCTAGGTTCAGCAGGGCCTCCAGCAGGGAGTTCAGGGTGCGTGTAGCCTCCCCAAGCAACACACCCTGCGCAATACATATTCTACATTAAATGATAGCCTGGGCACACGGCAACACTTTGTGCGCATGTTAATAGTGAATATAAATGTCCTGTATTTCAGTGGATTGCACTCTTGCTTGCTTGGAGATTAAGGTAAGGTAAGATTACATTTCACAATACCTGTGATTCTTGCAAAACACAAGTCTATAAGTTAGAGTTGGCATTTCTCAGACAATTATGGAAGCTTTTGCATATCTTGCTCTTGTGTTTCTTGGTTTGTCCACCTCTGAGATGTTAGCAGGTCTAAGTTCACTTGTAAGTACAGTATGTGTATCGATGGGTCTGTTAGGAGGCTGTGGACGTTCGCAGTGTTTGAACAACCTTCAGCCTGGCAGGGGTGAGTTTCTCCCGTTGTGTGTCCAGCTGCAGGCTGTGCGGATCTCTGGCTCTCCTGGAGGAGCTACAGCTCCGTGTCTCTTCCCGCTCAGAGCAGGGTGACTTGGGGACAACCGGGGTGCTGGGCGTATGAGTCTCAGCTCCAAATTTCTGCTCTGAGTCTGGAGAGATGAAGACACACACTTCATTGGAGTTAAACTTCATCTAATTATTATAGTCTATGACTGGAATTTTCCACCCCACTGAACCACAGCTATGAATGTGAAATTAAACTCAGCAGCACATTAATGGCTGGCTAAGAAATGAATAGCCTTTGACTTCCAAATTTTAAATGTAAATATATTTTTTGTGTTCCACTCTCTCCCTTGGTCACTTTCATTTATTTACCTACTATTTGTTATCTAGAATGTAATGCAATTTTTTTTTGTTTTTTAAATATCCCCTTCCAGAATATGTTTTCTTGAGGAAGATCATTATAGACTGTAATAGAGAATATGTTCTCAATTGACTTATCTGATCTGAAATCTTATCTGAAATTTCATTTCCTTCCTTCAAACTATAACCACTCTCTTTCCATATATAGTACCTTGCAAAGGTATTCAGACCCTTAAGCAGTTTTTAGCTTTAGTTGCTTTAGTGCTTGCTTTTCCGCACATTCAAAGCCAAAAAAAAAACAAAAAAAAACAGGTAAATAATATGAAAAAAATGGAAAAAGTCAAGATTGCATCACTAATAATTTGCTGTACACATCTAAATTAAATTAAGTATGCAAAATTACTTCAATGAGCCATATATTTAGTTGACCTCTGTCTGTGGGCAATAACAGTGGTTCACATGATTTTCAGAATAAAACCACATTTCTCAGTGTAGTTCCTTAGTCAGGCAGTGAATTGTAAGAAAGGATTTAACCATGAAAACTAAAGAGCTTTCAAAACCATGTTGGGATCAAGTTGTATAAAGGCACAGATCAGGAGAAGGGTATATAAATCCTTAATGTCTTTGCACGGTGAAGTCAATTAATCAGGTGTGGAACTGCCTTATTCTAGATACTGCCTTATTCTGATCTCTTCTAGATCAAATTGAGAACCCAGGCAAGGAGAAACCTGGTTTGGGACGCCACCATGAGGCTACCAGTGACTTTGAAAGTTACAAATTTTAGTATCTGAGATACAACAATATTTCCATGTCACTCTCCAAAGGGGACTTGTAGGGAACTAAGAAAAAAAAACCTCTTAATGGAGTCTGCAACAAACAGATACTGCAAACGTGGTAATAAATGGTCAGATGAGACAAAATTGTAACGTTCTGGTGTAAAGCATTACATCTGATACAAACCTAAAAGAGTGCATTACTTGGGCACCACCATCTTTACTGCTAGTCACAGTGGAGGCAGCATTATGTTATAGTTTATTGATTAAGACTACGAAAGTGGCCCTTTCCAAGTCCTGACTTGTATCCTATTAAGAATATGTGAAAACTGATGTCCATAATGACTCCAGGTAATTTGAGAGATCTTGAAAAAATCAGTCAAGAAAAAATGGCAGAAGTTGCACCAATCTGATGTTCAGGGATTGTAGTCTTGAAGAGACTTGCAGTTTGTAACTGCCAAAGATGTTTCCACCAAACACTGAGATCATGGGTCTGAATAATTATGCAATTAACATATTTCAGCCTTTTCTCTTCAGCATTTGCTGACATTTACTGTAAGTTATCTTACCGTTTTGTAATGTCACAAAGTGTGGCTGCATAGGAAGCATCTGTTTGCAAGGGACTGTATCCCCCCATGACTAAAAGATCCTAATTTATTTGTTGCAGTGTTGCTCCAGATTTTTAAATCTTTCTTCTCTGAAATTCTCTTAAGACAGATGCATTTGCTTTCAACATACTTAGTAATGCCTTACTACTCATATTTATTTTCATTTTGTCATTGTTGAACTGCCTACAGCTGTTCTTTCAGTTTAATGTTGTGATCATGTGGCGCAATGGAATACCTTGACCTTGAAACTCTGGGAAACTGTTGATGGTGTCACACAGAGCAACAATAAGCTTGGTCTTAGCCAGGGTCAGTCTCATCACCAGCTGGGAGCCAAACAGAGCAGCCACTTCTGAGCTAAGAGATTTGTTCACCAAATCCTCTAGAGTCTGGGCATCACAGAAAGGTACAGAGTTAGACATACAGATACACAGCACGGGGACAGAGATGAGCTGGCAGAACGCTACCACTTCATTGCTGACATTCAGTCACCACAAAAAAGAGATTATTCCACCACTTCTCAAACAGTGTAGCATAAACCTAGCAGGCATCTCAAAAAGATCAAACAGCGCTCTTGGACAGAGGTTTTAATGTCACTGCTGGTGTTGCTATACAGCAGTGAAATTTGTTGGTCTCTATATTCTATATATCATGTAATCAAATAATCTACACAGAACATAAATAGAGAAAAAGAATGTTGGCATCTAAATAAAACCAGCAATTATAAGGTGAATAATACAGTTACCTGCAAATTAGCAGAGTCTAGTAGGGTTTTGCTGGTGTCAAACTTCTTCTTTATCTGTAAGTCAAATACATATATAAATGGATGTAACTGAAGAACAGTGTTATACATTTCTTATAGCAAGTTTTTTTAGCATAAGAATATGGTGCAAAATATATGTTTATTTCTTTGGTATTGTTCGCAATAGAAGGGGTAAATGTGAAAAGGTTTTTGATTCATTCGGTTTACAAAGGTTTTATTCGGCTTACACTTTTACCCAAAGCAACTTATATTTGCACCCATTTAAACAATTAGGTAAATCTAATGTCACAATTTAGATAAAGGACTGTGGTCAAGGGTGCAACATACTGTAATATACCTTCCAGTAATGAGTTTAGAATCCTAACTACTATTTCACAGTGCTATCCAGAAAAAGATATACTCTAGCACTAAATGGCCTCAATTGGAGTGGACTGAGACTTCAGAACCCTTTTCTTCATTCTTTTTAATTTCAGGAGCATTAAAAAAATGAGATAAAGATGAGATTTACTCTAAAAATGGTTCATGGTAATATTGCTACCACTGGATTTCATATTTCTTTTTTCAGAGAAATTTCGGTTTCAGAGAGATCACTGTGCAGCGGGGACATTACCAGGCGTTTGTCAGAGGGGTAATAGCTGCCTTGTGGTTGCGGAATCCTCTCCCCCTGAAGCAGACTCCCCAGCTCACGCACAGCATCGCTGAAGAGATCCAGATCTGTCAGAACCTGAACCTGCAGATACAGAACATACAGTAATACTGTAGGGTAACTCACACACTGATTACACACACACAGCAGAACACACAACTCACTCAGCAGTTTAACAAAACTGTGTCACACAATATGCATCGTTGTTATGCTCTTTTATCACATAGTTGTACAGTAACATGTTGCTATTAAATACCGCTGCAAAACATGGTTATCACACAGTACCATTTTCTGATGCCATTTTTAGTCAGTTCATTGGCTCATTAGGCAGACAGAAACGATAACACAGAGGAAGAATCTGAGCTCAAGGCAGAATGTAACCACATGAAACCTGACCTTCAGTATCCGTCCCTCAATGGTGCGTCTTTTGTCTCGGCACACTGTATTGACAAAATACAGGTAGAGAGAGAGCAGTGGCAGGACCTGCAATACCAACACACAGCAACATGACTAGCTGGGTCAATACCACTCGACAACTGAAACAAAAAGACCTGAATGATGGGCAATTAAGTTTTCAAATGAGAGAGTAGCACTCTGACATTTTTCTTTGGTTTTTACAGCACTAGGTGTATTTCTGTCAACTGTTTATCCAACCAGCACTGTATTTTAATTGACATTGTATTCTAAGAGATTTCAAGTGTTCTTATTATGCAGCAGTGAAGTGTGATAACTAGGCCCATTACCAGGAACCTCAGAAAATAAGGCAAGACATCGATTTAAAAATCGTGAAAAAACAGCATGCTGGGAAGGCAAATCTTCATGGATGGCTGATAGTTTGCATTACTGTAAGTTGAAGCTATAAGATTTGGAGCTCAATATTTATGAGGTTGTAGAAGGGTACAGTATACAGCAAACACATTTGAAGAAAGCTTGAACGCTGTTATGCTCTGCCATTTCTTATGACTTTTCAGCAAGGAATTAATCTCCATCTGTTCTGTTGTCGCATTTTGATGTAGACACCCACTCCACAATCCTTTCAATTTTGACTTTCCATATCATACCGAGTTGCACAATAACACAGCACTCTACACTTTGATGTACTAATCAGAATGCATCATCAAGATCTACCCCAAATGTCTTCGGAGACTACTTCTATTATCTTATACAGTAGAACGCTGCAGGCAAAGGGCAGTGTGTTTGGCTATCTAGAATCAATATTGTAATCCGGTATAATTAGTTGTCCTGCTCTTCTCCTGGCTTCAGTGGATAGCAAGGAGTGTGTGTTGGGATGCATATACTGAGTGCTCAGGCGAGGCTTGGGTCACTGTACCATAAGGCAATGTCCAGCACTGTGCAGGCGGTGACACAGAAATGCTAAGCTGGAGACCGTGCTGTTGACCTGGGCTCTGAATGGCTCAGTGAACAGCTCCACCCCAGGGATGAGCTCTGGACAGTCCCATGTCCTGCCTAGACCATAGGAGGCATATTCCCAGTCTGACAGGGGGTGAGGCAAGGAACCCCGGAGGAGAGCCTGCAGAACAGGACACAGGTAAAGGGAAAGAGGTTAAAAAAGGCCATTTATAAATCAGTGTCTGCAAATGTAACTGCCCCCTGCTGTTTCTGGGTGAATATGAATGGATGGAGACCTTTAAAACTGTATTTGCAATTATGGCACAATCATATTAATGACTTTATCACTTGGACATATGCCAATCATATGAAGACAAAATCATGAATCAAACATTTAACAAAAACTATATTAATAACAATCCTTACTACTGCAATCCTTACTGTTCAATTTTTCAGGACAATAAACATACCCAGAAAACGTAACTGTAACAGCAGGAGACGTTACATTCACTGTGTATAGTTTTCTTCTCTTATGTTTGTCAGGAGAAGAATCAAAACAATAGGTAAATTAAGTGTGAGATATTTTGAGCTGTTGCCAAGTCCTCTGTAGGAAGAGCCAGGGTCAGATATGGAACATCACTAATTTATAATCCATAAAAAGAAATTAATTAGTAGCTAAATGAATTAATTTGTTGTAGTAGCAAAATGAATATGTTGACAAGCACATGGCAATAAACATTACTAAAAAAATGGTTGAGATATTTCTAATTGGATTTATTTAATAAAAATAGATTATTCTAATTAAGATATTTATTTTCTTCCTTTCATGCAATAAATTGCATTGTGAGAAGAAATGTTTTTCTAGTATGTTCGTTTGTCACTTTATTAAGCTTCTGCTGCAGACAGTTACATGTCACCAGGCCTACCTTGAAGAGCCGAGCTGAGAGAATGCAGCAGTGCGTTTGCCGGCTGATGTCTGAGGTCAGGATATACCTGGAGAAGAACACCAAGGATGGACAGCTATTTTAGGAGCATGAAATAGCAAAACAGAGCTTCTGTTTTTATACAAACCATATTTCTTCCTTCTGCTTTTAATGATATTGACATAGTAAACTGAAATATTAAAATTTAAATACCAAGGCAGGCAATATTCTGCACCTATTGTCATATAGTCATTTTTCTAGGATTAGTATGGAGCTGGACAGCATGGTGGTGCAGTGGTTAGTATTGGTGCCTCGCAGCCCTGGAGCCGAGGGTTCATTTCTGGACTTGGTACTATCTGTGTGGAGTTCATATGTTCTCCCTGTGTTCGCTTGGGTTTACTCGGGGTGCACTGGTTTCCTCCCACAGTCCAAACACATCCCTTTTAGCTTAAACTGGCTTCTAGGAATATTGGCCCTGGTGTGATTGTGTGTGTGTGTGTTTGTCTGGGCTATGGTAGACTGGCATCCCATCCTCAGTGTACCCTACCTTGTGGCCAAACTGTGCTCCATCCTGACCCTGAACTGGAAGAAGCACTTAGAATATGGAGCCCATGATTGTTCAGAGAGTTCATATGACAAAGACAGTTCACCCCCTCAGAGTCTGGACACTGTATAACTTACTGTGCAATCTTGGCTGACAGTACTGCTCCCTGTAGACAGCCCCAGATGCCAGCCTGGCGCAGAAAATGCTGGGGGAGATCACTGCTTCCCACGCAAACAGAGCTCTTGTCCCAGGAACCTAGGACTCCTGGCTGGCACAGGGCACTGTCTAGTGCCTTGCTCCAGCAGGACTGTGAAGCCCTGGGACATTAAAAGTAAGAGTTAATGATCTGTACAATCTGAGAAGAAAGTACTGTAGTTGATGAAGCTAATTTCACTCTGATTATTGGAACTTATTGCAGTTGTTATCATTTTAGGTTATTGTTAATTCTTCATAGATATGGGTTTCGAAAAAACTAAGCAAAAACTAAACATTAGATTTAAGGAATATAATTAAAAAAGAAAACAAATTAATTCAGCTGAAATTTTAACACAATATTAATTTCATATAACTGCTTCTTAAAAATAAACAAGACATTTTCTTAAATATTTCAGTGAAAAACAACCCACTTAATATATCTCATATTATAAAGCGCTGTATTTTACTCCATTATAAGCTTGTATACTGTACTGTACCTTTTGTTCCCACTATAAAAGTGCAGGTTTCCCAGCTCATGTAGAGCCTGGACTTTCAGAGAGTTCTGGTTATTAGCCTGGAGAAATTCTTCATTGAAAAGGAAAGGAAAATCAGTTAAGCCTTCTCCTGACATTCATCTTTAAGTGGACTTTTCTAAATAAAAGTATGACATTTAATTAATCTGTCAGAAGACATTCCAAAACTGTGTTTTTCAACTTGGGTCATTAGAGTTATGAATTTAGCAGGTTTTGCACATCTCTTTAAGATATAAACAATTCATCTGGACGATATAGGATGACCAATTTATACATTCTCCCTAGCTTTATGGTGCCAACAATATAATTTAATACAATTTAATGTATAGTCCATGCACTGCTGAAGGCTACTGTATGCTAATACATTGACAGAATTTAAAATTAGAGGGCAGAGTGTGCGCAACCATCTCATTTTAATGTTTTTGATCATTTTTGCCCAACAACACCTCAACAGATTTGTGTATTATTTGTTTTGGACAATTAAACACTGAAAACCTGTAAGATTCCATTACCCAGAATATCGGAGCATGTGTTATAGGGGGATATCCTGGTAGATAATACCTGTACTGTATACCTAAAGCCACAAAGAATTTAGCTCTGGTGAATGTTGTAATAGCTCCCTACTGTACATTAAAGAGGATCTGGACTCTCCCTGCAATGGACTTGTCACCCTATGTTCACTCATAGCGTGGCAGACCTCCATCCAAACAGGTGGACTCACCTATGGCGTTGTTGTAAGATGTGATGACTGTAGCAAGTAGGGAATGAGGCAGAGGACTGCTGTAGATGGTGTTCAGCTTGCTGAAGTCCTCAGAGGAGAGGTCCGGAGGGAAAGGGATGGGGACAGAGATGGTGGCCGCATTGAACTCCACCTTCCCCTGGAAATGGCTGGTGCTGTCCCTGCAGAAGTGAGGCTCCCCACCTGAAAGACAACACCACACGTGCTATCATTATAAACATAAGCAAGACGTTTGGATTAAAATATTAAAAATGTGTATATACTGTACACATACTGTAGATATGTAGCACACAACACACCGCAGGTCACTGACATGCACACAGGTACTGACGCAAGCCCTGGAGATATGCTAGAAACAACTGTGAGGCTTCAGGTAAGTGCTCTGAGTGCAGGTGTCTCACCTTGTTGTGCGTGTGCCAGCAGCAGCAGGAGCAGGGTGCGGCTGTGCTGGAGTGCCCGGTGATGATAATGCCCCCTCCCCGACGTCTCTCGGAAACAGCGCAATGTGTCTGCCACATCCAAAGGCACCGACACCAGTGCCATTGCCCTGCTCCTTTCTGCAGCAGAAAAAAAAATTACATCACCTGCCATTTTTTTTTATAATGGGACAATATGACTTAATTAGTGAATACAGTAAAGTCCTAGCTTGAAAACACTAAATATTTTACAAATATACTGTATATTTTATATTTATTTATGTAATATATACAATCAACTACCATGTAATGCTTTACATCACAACTGTTCTTCTAACTTTCAGATAATTCAACAACAGAGAGATCAATCAGTAAGATTGATTTTCTATGTTAAAACTGTAAAATAATTTGCAGTACATAACATTGCGCTATAGCTTAGAATAAAATTTTTTGGGAAAATAAACCTTTAGAAGAGATTGTTAAATGGACAAAAATCATGCAAGATGAGCCAATAGGCACTAACTACCCTTCTTCCATTCGTCAGTGATTTTCTTCTTCCTCCATTGTGAACACCACAGTCTGGCTCCCTACCTGAGAATATCTCATGCCCCCCAGGGTCGATGTGGCTGCCTGGATGGATCTCTTCTGGGAAGGTTGACTTGATGACTAATTGCTTGCCTATGAAGTTCCTGCAGGTGATCTGAAACCCAACAGATATCTCAAAATAAGCACTACAGTACTGCTTTCCTCTCTGGAACAGTTACATGTTTCATGTCCCATGTCCTGACAGCGAAGGTGATTGTATGTTTGGTGTGGATTTGTAAAGACATCAGTATTTTTCACCAGGCAAGTACGATTTTATATCTATAAAATTATTGGGACTCTGTACTTGACTGTAACTAAGAGAACCTCTATAAACTCTTACCCTGAAATGAACTCTTACTCTTAAGATCCCACCGGAGCTCTTACCCTCTCTCCTGTTTCCTCCTCAGCTCTGGCGAAATGTGGCTGTGGGGGCTGGGGACCACCGAACTGGGTGACCCTCTCCAGCAGCTGTCTCTGAGCATGGACCAGGAGTGGGGTGATCAGGTGAGTGTACCGCTCACTGAGACATGCAGACCACGCGAGAGACACATAGGGATAGTCAAACAAACAGGCAGAGATAAACGGAAATAATCAGTCCTTGCACCTTTAACTTGTATTGTGTGAGTCTGCAACAAGTTACCTAGCCATGTTGTAGAAGCTTCTTTCACTAAATGGCTGGATGAGATCCTCAGATCAATTAACTACTAAAACAGCTACATGGGCCGAATAACCTCCTCTGGTATGTAGCTTTTATTATGTTTTTCACACTTTTCATTCTAAATCTCAAAGCACTTCAGAAATAGAGACGGACCCATTTCTTCCACCACTGCAGTGCAAAACCCGAATGGGTGAGAAGCAGCAGAGAAAGGAATTGAAAAGCACAGGGCGGCTCATGGCACGGAGGGGATGCTGCCTACTCACTGCGTGATGGTGTTGAAGACCATTGCCAGGTGCGCTAGGCCCTCCCATCTCCCCTGCTGGTGCAGCAGCTCCAGGGTGCGCAGAGTGAGGACACCCACCCATCGCAGGTCCACCACAGTGCCGTCATCCAGGGGCCGCGAGAAGTGTAGGCTGGAGTCTTCTCCCTCCGCGTCATCAGCCCAGGCCTGTCCACAGAGTGACAACTCAAGAACAGCACAGACCTCAGCCAAACCCGCTGTATAAAGTATGACTGGGAGAAATAAAGTAATCAGACCAACTACTGAATCCAACTCCCATCTTTAATATGAAGTCCTTTTATATAGTGCCTTTCAAGATTCATCAAGATCTTGAAACAACAAGATACAATGTTTTATTCTCCCACTTACCCAATCATGTAAAGTTTGTTTAAGTTTGAAATGGTTTACATTTATTTTTTTTCCAAATCTTTAAATTAGGCAAAGGAACAAGTAAAAGGTTGATTCCATGCTGACAAGAGAAGAAAGGAAACACACACACAGTGGTTCCTTTCTTTTCCTTTCAGCATGGAAAAAACCTTTTACTTGTTCCTTTGCAGCCTACGCATGCTGACGTAGCTGCCTACTTGAACTATTTTAAATCTGGTTGCTTCGAGGTGCTTTTAACGGTCTACTGAATACACAGGTTCATACCTTCAATATTTTGAACTGCTAGCTTGTAGTTCACTGACGTTCTCCTAGCCTTGTACAGAGGGGTTTGCCGTACCTGCAGTGTGCCGGGCTCTTCCTGAAGTCTCTGGATCATGTTCAGCAGGCATTCGGAAGCGAGAAGCAGCAGAGGGGTGAGGGTAGAATATATTTGCTCCAGGGAAATGGGGAATGGGTGCTCTGTGGTGCTGCCATGCTCCAGCATGCAAATTACAGGGGTGAACTGGTCCCACAGTGTCCGGCACACCCACTGCAAACATGCCCAGTGCCGTCCCCGATGTGCCAACACCTGGGCATGGACATAAAGAATATTCTCGTGGGACTGTGAAATTTGAAACCTTTACAACCTTTGGAAGAAGCTAATGTCGTGCAGTCATTTTATTTACCAATATTTAACAACATGCTTGGTGCCATATCGCACCAATGTCTGCGTGTGAGAAGATGTGTGCCCACGAGATTGACTAAGAGGGCACTGCTGTACAACTCAAGTGTACCTCTGGGTAGGAGAAGGACATGAAGATCTTACCATGGCCCTCCTGAAGTGCAGTGCTGTCTTGCCGAGAGTGTCAAGTAGCTGTGCCTGTGAGACACTGTGACGGGCGGCCTTGAGCCCCAAGGACTGACAGCTAGAGTCAGTCTCATTGGTCATCTGGGTCCTAGGAGTGTCCTGATCACTATCCATTTCACTTTCTGTTGATTCGCCTCCACCCAGACCAACATCTACACAGAAACAGGGAGAAAATTCTACTGAGCAATAATTAATCATTCTTATTGCTTGAATTTGTATAACACTTTCAATCTCATGGGATTCCAAAGTGTTCTACACTTAGGAACTGATAGTGTGATGCACAGCAGTCATTATGAGTCAACAGTGACACTATATAAGTGATCAGGCAGGGACGTGAGATGTGAGTTCATCAAATGAATTAAGGGACCAGATTGTATTTACCAATTGTAATTAATTTAATAGAACTCTTTCAGTAGTTTCTAGAGATATGCACGAACTGGAGAATTGCTAATGGAGTGCTCAATCAGGAAAAAAGGAGTAAACCTAACCAAACTACAAAGCAATCTGCTGGCAACTTTTGTCTCTTGCATCCAAACCTCCATAGACGGCCTCATCTAGCAACCCTAGCAATGCTCTAGGAACTACCTGGCAGCTCAGTCTGTCAGGGTATACTACAATACTATTCCAAACAAGCTCCAGCAATATCTAATCAGCACAAGTTACAAGTTAGCAAGGATTCAAACTAAATTAGATGGTAGGAGGCATGAAAATAAGATTCTAAGGGACAGTCATATTGATTTAGAAAATGTGGCATCACGGTGGCGCGGTGGGTAGAACTGCTGCCACACAGTGTGCCCTGTGCCCAAATCCTGGGGTGAATTTGTATTTTTTTCCTGTTTTCTCTTGGGTTTCCTCCAGCTGCTCCAGTTTGCTCCCAGTCATAATTGTATGTGTTAATTGGCTTATGGGAAGACTGGCTGTGGTGTGAGTGTGTGCGTGTCTGTGTGTGCCCTGCGATAAACTGGTGTGCCTTCCAGGGTGTATCCTACCTTGCACCCGTTGCTTGCCTGGACAGGCTGCAGTGCCATATGGCTATTCCTTTTATATGCAGGAAAACGTTCAACTTCGGATATTCAGTACTATGCATTACAATTATCCCAGTCACTGAAATCCAAAAGTGGTGGAGATGAATTGAGAAAGGTACCATCTTGTCTACGTGGGACTGGTTTCTGGGGTGTTCTGGGGGCTGATATGGGGGTGTCTGGGGGCTCGAGGGCTTGTCTGCGGTGGATGACACTGCTCCATCTCACGAGTGTGCCAGCATGAGGAAGAGAGAAGAGCACAGGATCCAGCTGGCCATAGCTGCACACAGGAAAGGAAACATGTTTCAACACTATTCATCAAACTGTACTAGCAGCATACAAGAGTAGATTATTTTATTATTATTCTAAATTTGCGTGATTAAAATGATTAATACAAAAACCGATTCGCCTTTTAAAAACTTTTCTCTTAAACACCTGACAGTGGGTATGAAAAACTATCAATTTCTGAAACAAACAAACAAACAAACAAACAAACAAACAAACAAACAGAAGTGATTCATTTTAATGATCATTATGATATTTTCAGGATATTATTTCAGTCCGTGTGCTTCTGGGGGCTAGAGCTATTCTGTACCTGACTGTGTTACCACTCTGCCTCTGTTCCAGGTTCCTGCGGAAGAGGGTGAAGTGTGCCAGGGCCAGGGTGGCGTTCAGCTGGCAGCGCCAGGGCCATTCATCTGAACAGACCTGTCGGAGCCGCCGGCGTCGC